GTGCTTGCCCCATGCCATAGTGGCCTCCCGATGCCCGCCCACTTCATTCCACATACGGTTCAGGCATCAGCAGCGCTGCTGGGTGTATGCTCGGCTGTTATGCGATTTTGCTGTTATGCGATTTTACCACACTCGCAAAATCGCACACAGCCGACCATATAACAAACTCTGTATTTTGAGTGGAAATGTTAGGGGGTCGTCTTATACGCCGAGTCGTCTTATACGCCGGCAAATACGGTATTGAAATTTTTTTAATCAGAAAATAATTATAACTCATCTAAAATTACCTAGGCTCTTTGATTTTTTTAAGTTATTTTTATTTCTGTGAATGAGGGAGAGAGAGTGAATTTAATTATCAGAGACACACTTTACAAGTAACAATCTCAGTACATTTTTAGAACTGTTAACATCAGTGTTTGGTATGACTGCACTAACTGCAATTTAAATAAGTACTAAAAGAAGCAAGGTGATTGTTCAACCACCATTAAAATAATGTTCTGAATTTTTTGAGGACCAAAAAGGAAAGAGCACTATACAATTAGGAAATTTAAATTTATTAGGAAGTCTTTGCATTAATACTAAAACACCAGGCCTATTAACTACCATTAATGTAGTTGCCAGAGAAAACAGGTACTTTTTAAAGTTTCTCTTTAACATCTGTTATAATAAGCAACATTTAGAGTATAAATAAAATTCAGTAGCCAAGGAAAGAGACAGTTTGTTATACAACAAATGCTTTGTAGTCTGTCATGTTTTTGACACTTTGGTCAGTAGTTCTTTTAATGCCATTCATTTAATTTTTTTCCTGTAACCTACTAAAATATGGCAAAATAGTCTTAATTCTTTTCACTAGTAATACGGATAAAAGGACAAATACAAATGGTATGATAAATGTAATTATGTTTGAGTTTTTTAAATAAATTAGAAAAGTTTGAAAGGAGCGTTTGCTCAGTGTGTGATTCAGGAAAGGGAAATGAGCAGGACCTTTGCCAGAGCGTTCTTTAACTTCTTACTGTAAAGGAGGTGTTATGGATAACTTACAGGGGGAAGGAGAAGCCTCGTTTATCTTTGAATAGTCACTAAATAATGTCTATGTTTGGCACAGATTTGAAATAGTCTTTCTTACAATGCTTTAGCAACATGAACTTTAATTCACAGAAACTTGTATGTCAAAGTTTTTAGATGGTCAACTAAAAAATATAGTTAATATACCATTTTTCATAGAAAAGTTGTACAAAGCCAACTAAAACTAATAGAAATGAAATTACTTGTACTACCTTTCAAAGCATCTCTACTATTATTTTCCTATTAACATAATCTCTGCCAGTTCATCTTTTTAAGTATTGCCATTCTCCAAATCTTTCTGCACTGTCTTCATACCAGGATGAAATTTCTACCTATTCAGGGAAACTTTGCTTTAATGGTCCTGAAAACACTCAAATTCTTTATAATGGAATTCTTGCATACCTCTGAAAAATTGCCACCTCTCCTTATCTCCACCTCCACTAATATACTCCTTCTCATTCCCTGCTTTATTACTATCATAAGTGTTTATCACCAAAAACATTTACATACTTATTTTCTGTCCTCCCCTATTAAAATGTAAATTCCATGACAGCAAGGATTTTTGTTTGTTCATAGCTGTAATGTCTGGCAGATAATAAACATGCAGTAAACATTTGTTGAATGAATGACTGTCCTGATTTTCTCAAAACTTTATCCTCTTTAGTTGTGTTGGTAAAATCTTTCTCCATGCATTTTTATAGGTTTCTTATCACTTTAGTAACAATTGAAGTATCTTCACTAAGTTAGTTCATATACATATCCTTAACCCACAATTAATTAGTTTCTCCTAGTTAACACAGTCACACTTGTCTTGGGTTCATTTATGTATCACTTTTCCTTTTTTTTAGAGCTCGGTGAAGTCTGCAAAGTCTGGGGATGATATAATAGAGCTTTAACAAGAGCAATCAGGTTTTTTAGCCTCTGGTGTCTTTTATGTCTTGTATTTTTTTTTTTAAGATTTTTATTAGGGGAAGGGGAACAGACAAGTTGCTAACCTTTTTTGTTCTTCAGTCTAGTTGTGAAGGACGTTGCTTCACTGGCCCAAGTTGGCACCATCATTGCGCTCTTCCCGGGTCAGGCAGATCAGTCGCCGGCTTCTGGACGGCCGCTCACTGCGGCTGCTGGCCGCTCACACTGGCTGCTGGCTACACACGGTAGCCCATGGCAGCCCACCTGCCATCGCCGGCAACTCATGGAAGCCCAGCTCCAGGTCGAGCTGTTGTTCAGCATCTTAGCTGTATAGGGCAGTGTCACTGGCCCTCATATGTGGGATCCGAACCGGGGTCCTCTGGCATCCCAAGCCAGCTCTTAACCAACGCGCCACTCGGCCGGCCCTGTCTTGTATATGTTTTTAATGTAATTGTAAGATTGGGATAGGAAAATAAGACTTTTTATAAAAATGTATCTAGAATCTTCTGAAGAACCATTAGAGCTAAAAAGAGGTTTCAGAATTTGGGTTCTTTAAATTTGTATTTTTAGATGCCTTACCTAATATCAGTACTTTCAGACATAATTTAAAATTAATACTTGGAAATAAAGTAAAAACATTTCAACATTTTAAAAAACTTAATGCTTTTGTTTCACTTCCTACCCTTCCCAACAAAAGTCACATACATGGTAAATCATGGAGCCAAAATTTAAGCCTAGGTATACTGACTCTACCAGAGTACACCATACTAGGCATTCAGAGTCCACTATACTAGAGTACATTTTGAGATACATGGAGGTAAAATTAGAGAGTAAAGACCAAACTGTGCTAACACATGAGGTTATTGATGATACAATGTGGTGAAAGGAAACACAGATTGCTTTCATCTTTGTGGAAATACTGTTAGCATAAGAGCATGGGGTAACAGAGTAGGCAGGAGGTGGGGAGCCAGCTGAGGAATTGGGTGGAGGAAAGGAGGTAGCAGACTATATTGAATATTACTATCCACTTGGATAGTTTCCTTATAACAGTGTACCAACATGGAATGTTACATGGTAAATCAATAAAATAAATTGCCTTGGAAATACAAATTAATGTTTTCTAGTTGACACATCAGTTTTGACTCATGTTACCCTGATATAAGTGTAGCAAATGAGAATTATCTTTTGTATTGAAATTGAGATATAGCTTTTTTCTAATAATTCAGGATATGTTAAAATTTAAAGCCTTTTCATGAGAGTGAATTTTCTTTGTGCTGACTTAGATTATCTTCGCTAAATAGGATATAGACAAAACAGTGATTGCTTTTTTTTAATATATATATTTTTTATTTTTCAATACAAGACAGCCGCAACATGGCTTCTTCTGTATTTCCTTAGTTATAGGACTTCTGTTCAGCTAGACTTCAAGTGATTCTCAAGGATGGTTGTTGTATAGTTTAGTTGTAATTTTGATGTGGTCAGGAGAGGAGGCAAGCACTGCGTTTACCTACTCCGCCATCTTAACCAGAGCACCAATGGTTGCTCTTTTTGTACATCTTTCTTATTTATGATTTCTTTTAATATGTACAATAGTCCTGATAATTTTGCTTCAAGGCAAGGAAACTAAAAATTAGAATGAATTAAGAATGCATTCCTCTAAGTCCATTTAGCTGTTATAAGACTGTAGTCTAGTCTATCTTGATATAACTTGCTTTTAACTGGAAAATTTATTTATTAAACATTCAAACTTAGTATCAATCCTTGGAGTAAGTGATTTTAGCAATTTTTGATGCATTCTTAATATCCATACCTACACTTATCTAAAATGATGCACATACTGAGTATGTCCTTTCTTTAAATGTATGTATGCATACTTTTGGTGATAGTTTTTTAAAGAGCTAGCAAATATAATGGTGAAGAAGAGTTTTTGAAACTTTTTAATACCTATCTATAAAGAATTCTAGATAAAAGGTTAATTCTAGTTAGCTTCTGGTGTCATGCCATACACTGGCTATGGGAAAATGCTTTAGTGGATCTAAAATTACATATCATTAAAAAGCAATATAAGTTAACTTTTTGGTTATTTGCTTCATCATCTTACTATTTTAAGAATGATTTAAAAAGAATTGAATACTTACAAAAACGTATTCCTCAATAACTAGTTATGTCTGAGTATGTAGTGAAAGCCAAATTGTAGACATTTACAGTTATTTCTTTAATCTTGTGAAGATTCAGTAATATCACATGACACCCATCAATCCTGTATTCTAATCCATCCCAGACCCTTTGTAGCATGTCATACATTAGTGGTTGAAATGACAGACACAATGTGTTTCTTTATTCCTCAAAGAAGAGGTGGTATAAACAGAAGGTGTATACTCCATGTATTACTTAAATGAGTAATTTGAAAGCATCCAGTTCTTTCTGTATCATCCTGAAGCATCAGAATATGTATATGTATATATATATTCTTATCACTAAAATTTTGACAGAAGTCAAAGGAAGTAAAACATCTGTTGTAGATAGAGGAGAGAAATAAGGATCACTGAGGAAGAGCTCAGTTTCATGAAATGATCATAAGATGGGATTTTTAATAAAGTAACTAGCTTTCTTAATTTTAGAATCAGTTGATATATTCAGTTCCCTCAGAGAAGTAACAAAAACCCAAAAAGAGTATAAATGTTTAATCTTTTATTGAGGAATGCTGTTTAATTATCTAACATACCTAAAACTCAGATTTCCAAATAAATATTAGACCAGTTCAACTTGAACACTTATTTTGTGGGCATTTAATATGTTATTAACTTAAGTCTATTTGATATCATAATTTTAGTTATTTAATTCATTAACTTAAAATTACAAAAGATTTAAAACCTTAGATATATTTTTCACATTTATTTATTTTTAAAGCTTTTCAATTGCAATATAGCATGCCTGCAGAGAAGTGCACAAACTATAAGTTATTTTTTTGAGTAACTACCTAGTCAGCATTGCCCATATAACAATCTTTGGGTATCTTTTTACAGGAGACTTTGCAGCAGTTGATCATGATGTCATTGCCAAATGTCTTAATCATTGGCAAAAATCCCTTCTCTGGTAAGTATTACAGTTAGCATAACGTGATAATAAAGTCTTATCCTTGTGTAATCCTATAATGCTTACCAAGATCTTGCTTATTTACATCAACAGACTAGGTTTTTCATGATGCTACAGGGAACGTTGGGGGTGATATCCCATTTTATATAGAGAAAATAATTGTAGAATATTTGTAAGTTGTAGATGGGATCAGACATATATTTTACATTAAGTCTAGTGTTTTTTCGACTCTACCAAATTGATACTTTCGTGTGATGATTTTTTAGTGTCGCATTATAAACAAGGATAGAAGATAATGTGGCTATAGACTTAAAGGAACATAATCTTAGAAAATAAGTGATTTTGAAATAATTTTTAGAAATATTTCTAAATTGAAATAATTTTAGAATTGAAATATATTCTATCTACCTTTGCCACAATTAGTTGAATCTAAGTTTTACCGATTGATTTGTATATTAAACTACTTCTGAATGGAAAGATAAAAAGCAGTTTCTTAGATCATTTAAGTTATTTTTTTCAAAAGTTTCTGCCCTTTACTAGGTTTTAAATGTGACACATTCAGAGTTTTAACTCCACCCCCACCACCAGTCAGAACAAACAAAAATAAAACCAAAATAAAAACTAAAATCAAGCAGCTGTTTTTATTGAAGAATCTACCAATTAGATGGGATGAATTAGGAGTTTAGATAGTCTTTTGAGATATTCTGGGGTATTTGATCATACGGGTAAAAAAATGAAAAAATATTTTGTATATAGAATGGAATTATTTTCATTTCCACATGCATTTAGTGATTACCTACCAAGTTATAGGGACCAGGAAAAAAAAATGGTCTATGCTCTGGAAGATCTTGTGTTTTGGTGAGAGATACAGATTACTGGGAAATCATGTAACTATTGGTATGAAATAGAGATATGCAAGAACGTTAAGGCATGTAAAATATGGAGCTATTAATTCTGAAATTTGGCATGTTAGTGAGGGTTGGGGACCATTGGTTGTTAAGTCAGAGAAGACTACACAGATATGTTAGAGCTGTGTCTAGGATTATGATTAGTAAGTTGTTCACTAGAGGGATGAGGGGGAAGGCAAGAAAGGCAGACAGAGGGAGTAACAGAAGTTAAAGCAGAGTGTGTGTGTGTATGTATATGTCGGGAAGGGTGATTAGTATGGCTAAGAAGGTAGGTTGTTTCATGGAGAGAAGGAGGAGGAAATATTTAAAAAGAAGATTTGGACTTTACTGTGAACAGATTGACCTGGTGGTGAAATTTGAGCCCAAAGAATTGGCTTTTTTGGCTTGTTTTTTTTTGGTTAGCTGAATAATTTAAGAAAATCTCAATTTAATTGGATGGCACATGTGCCCTCCAGTTCTGTTATAGACCATTACTTTTATCCAGCTTGTTATGTACATTTATTTTACCAGCTTTGCTGTAACTGACATTTAAAGTTTTGACCCTCATGAATCTATGCAGTGGAAAGACATTTAAATTTTATAGGGAGATGAATCATATAAGATAGTTATTTTAGAAACAAAACACTAATAGGCCTAAAATAAATCAGACCTATTAGGAACCATTTTGGCTGACTTTGTGGCATGTCCCTATACTAGTGGTTCTTAATTCAGTATGCTTGTGTAGTATAATCATTTATGGAAAAATAGTAGCTTTATTTATTGCACAGAGCATTGAATCCTATTTTAGCTATACTGTAGCCCTTCAAAATTTGGATCCTTGCCCATTTCTTTTGCTATTACCACATTGTGCACACACAGAGATACTAGTTTGAATTCTCCACTATACTTATAGACTTAATCCTTTGGTCAAATTGTTAATATTACCTCTAGAAGTGATTCCATCAATATAAGAAAGAGAGTTGAACTAAAGTAAAATGTTGTACTTAGTAATTGTTTTTTATTTCAGAACAAGGCACAGAAGAAGTTAAAAAGTTGCTTTTACTTTTACTGGGTTGTGCAGTTCAGGTAAGTTAAAATATTTCTTCATATTTTCATAACTTTGTTGTGTTTTTTCAGGCTTTAGTTTCTGAAAGACTTAAAGATAGGCCATTGGTTTTCAAAGTCTATATCAGAGATTATAAGTAGCTGTATAACCTCCAGAGGAGATTTTGAAGAAAAAGACTTACTCTGTTATTTTATTTTAAACTTTATATTATCAGATAGACATATCATTTAAATCTTTAATTATTCTTTTCTTACTCTGAATCTTCAAATGGCACCAGGTTTTTCAAGTTTCCTTAGAGCTACCTTTAAAAACCTCTTTCAAAACATTCTTATGATTATGTGTGCATGAGTGTGTGTTAATGAAGAGAAGTGGGGGGTCAAATATATGGTGATGGAAGGAGAACTGACTCTGGATGGTCAGCACACAATGTGATATATAGATGATGTATCACAGAATTGTACAATTGAAACCTATGTAACATTACTGACAATTGTCACCCCAATAAATTTTAATTAAAAAAAAGAGAAGTGGGATTAACAGTAAATATATTATTAACAATATATTATTAACAATAAATATAAAGTCAGTGAATGAACTATAAACAAGAAATTATGAAAAGTGTTTTAGGAGTCTGGGTTCTTATTATATTGATTATAATAATAATTGCGATGATTTATGGAATGCATACTTTGTGTCAGATATGATACCTTATATAGGTTTTCTCATAATAAATATCTCCTTTCAGATAAGGAGATGGGTGTTTAGGTAGGTTTATATCAAGTTATTCAAATTGAGACACTTGTGAAAGTCAAAAGCGTATTAGTGACAGTTCCAGGGAACTGCATGTATAAACTGGGACTGTCCCATTCAAACCAAGATGGTCGCTCTAGAATTAGGTCAGATTGCTAGTAAGCCAAAGAGCTGAGATTCACCTCCAATGTGACTTCAAACCTATTATGCTATGTTGATTTTTCCTTTAATTAGTCATTGTTTGGATGAGTCATGACAGTGTTACTGTAAACTATCTCTATTCTTTGTGAAGTTATTCGTAAACAAATAATGTGACCACTAGTAATTTTTTTACATATATTTACTGAAATTATATATCCATGAGAGTTTTGGCCTTTAGAGCTACTGCTTGGGAGCTACATATACAATGTATATTATTAAAGTTTCTCTGTGTAAAGTACAGGTGTTTAATTCATAATTATTTAAATACTAACTTAAATATAATATTTGTAGACATTGCTGTTCTAATTTGGTCATCAGATTTTGAATTAAAAAGTCATTAATTATTTACAGCCTTTTGTACTGTATTTGCTTTTAAAAAATAACCCTCTGTTGGTGAATGTTATGTAAATTTAGATAACTTAGTGAGAACAGAAATTTGGTTGTTAACTTCTGGTTACTATTTGGTTGTTATTACTGGTTACTAAAACTGATAGTGGGAATTGCCAGAACCAATGACTTTTTTTTAATGAACAGTTTAGGGAATGCCTAAAATATTAAAGAAACCACCGTTATTACCATCTGTAAAAGCAGCAAAAGAAGATTATAAAATCTAGGCTGCTTCCCCCTACCTTACTATTTTTTATAACTCACCCAGATATTGGAAAATGAAAAGGATGACATGGAAATAGTGTTCCTTTTTCTAATAAGCTACATAAAGTTTTTGATAGGTTGACCAACCCAGGCTCTTCTATTTCTGCCAATGGGTGTTTCCTAAAGAAATTTACCAATAATTTTTTTACATTTGAATAACTGTTGATATTCATGTTTTAAAGCAACTTCTGTCATTTTACTTTACTAAAGTAAAGCAGAGCTATGTAATGGGCCTATTAAAAAAAAATAACACAACTACTTAATGAAGCCATGCTAGAGATTACCAGTTATAATGTCAGATATGTACTTTCTTTCTTACTGATGCACAGAACTAAATGCTGCATAAAGTAAAATAATATATACATAGACCTACCCTTATAAGTATTGTGCTTCTTAAAATAGTTTCCATTAATGTCAGCATGTAATTAAAACAAGGTTTTCTAGCAATGTTTAGTATTCTTAATTTTTCCTACTAATATGTTAGATGGTTATGATTACCTATACTTTAGATTCACATAATCTGGGGAAGGTTTGAAAGGTAGATATTATTTCAAATGGTCATTGGAAAAAAGAGGATATCTGGGTGGATTAAGGCATAAGAGAAGACACAGAATGAGAAAATTGTGTAAAAGAATAATTATAAAAAAAATGCATCAGTGTGACATTGTAAAGTAAAGTAGAAAATAGAGGTGATTTCAAGATATTTAGAACAGGTCAATGTGAAGGTAAGTTTTAAAGTTGAAGGGAGAAATTTATTAACTTTATAATTATTTCACTTAAGGGGAATAGTTCTAAGAATCAGTAAAGGAAATGTATTAGCAATGTGAAAGAGTGACTTTACGGAAGTGTGGCTTCAGTCAGTGAAGAGTAATCTTTCACAGTATGTTTGGACAATGTCTAAGACCCAGTGTAGCAAACTTATTAGAGAATAAAGAAAGAATAAATACAAGCAAGTTTATTTTTTTCATACAGAGTATAGTTTTCAACATTTGTATAAAACAAAACAAAGATTCAAGGAGATCATCATCCTAAACCTAACTAAGGTCAACATCATTCAGAGTTTTTATAGACATGAGGAGGTGGCAAGGTTGTCAGACTTTGATGTGAAATTAATTTATCAAGAAAATTGTAAACCAGTTTTTGTATATACGTCATGTCTTTGTGTCAGCAAATTTTTTTTCTTTACTTGAAAGTCCTTGGGACTTGTGTCTGTTGTGATGCTAGAATGGCAAATCTAGCAAGAAAGGAGGAAGGATCCAATTTTGAAAAATCACTGGTGTTCATTCTGTATTTTTAAAATGTTAATGACCTGAATTTTCAAATGCTCACTATTTACCAGGTGCTATAATAAAGGACAGGAATTTTTAGTTTTTTTAATACAAAGCTCAAGGAGTTTAATTTTTAGAAGCAGACAGACCAAACATTAACTGTATGAGGTGATAATTACCATAATGCAAGATACATTGGTGTACAGAAGAAATATTTTTTTAAGTCCACTTGTTGTGTCAGGGAATGTCTCTCTGAGAAGGTAATATTTGAAATGAGAGTGAAGATATTGAGGTAACCACTTGTCAGGAAATACCAACTGTGTGTGGAACGTGACATGCGTGGTGGAGAATGGCAAGAGATTAAGACTGGAGAATTGCCGGGGATTGGGTCACAAAGGACTGGATTGGCCATATTAAGATTCAGTTTAGGTTTCATCCCGTAGGTATTTGGGAGCCCCTAATGCTAACGACATCAAGTGGTAACAATCAAAATTTCCTGTTAGAGCCTTCAACTGTGACGATATAAACAACTAGAAATCTTTGTTGATACTGAAGAGACAAAATGTACTTCAGAACCAGAAACTATTGATGAAACCAATCAGGCAGCAAGTATTGTTTGAACACTTTCTAGAATGTAATATGTGTTACAGAAAATCTGTTCATCTACGGTGTCAGATGTGTAGTAGTAGACTTGTTGGGGTTATCACTTTGTGAGGGGTGTAAATGTCTAGTCATTATGTTGTTTTGTGCACTTGAAACTAATAAAAAAAATTTTTAAAAAGAAAACCTGTTCATCTAGTAGTTGAACAGGTTAAAAACTTACTATCTAGTATAATACATAATGAGGTGTGATCAAAAACTATGGTGAATGTTTAATAGAGAAAATTTTATTACAGTAAAAGACACATTGCCATTAATCCCCCTCAAAATACTCCTCCTCTCTTTGAACATGCTTATCCCATCGTTCTTGCCGCTTTCTGAAGCAGTTCTGGAAGTCCTCTTTCGTGAGTGTCTTTAGTTGCACTGTTGTGGCTGCCTTGATGTCCTGAATCGATTCAAAACGGTTACCTTTTATGGTCATTTTGACTTTGGGGAAGAGCCAGAAGACGCATGATGCCAGATCTGGTGCATAAGGTGGATGAGGACATGCCGTAATGTTTTATTTGACAGAAATTGCCATATACCAGAAGTGATGTGTGACACGGAGCCTTTCTTTTGTGATCAAAAACTATGGTTAATGTGGCTGCTGAGTACCATCCAACGGAAAGGCAGGGATCTTCAATATTGGAAGCGGCAAACCTTAGTAACAGTGTGTGACAAGTTTCAACTTGTTTGGCGCAGTCAGTCGGGTGTGAACTATGGTTGAGAGGTGTGTTTTTAAAGTGTGCCATAAATCATCCTCCATCATGACAACGCTGCATGTTACACATCATTTGTGGTACAGCAATTTCTGTTAAATAAAAACATTACGGTGCGTTCTCATCCACCTTATTCACGAGATCTGGCACCATGTGACTTCTAGCACTTGCCCAAAGTTAAAATGAATCAGGATATCAAGGCAGCCACGAGAGCATATAAAGACACTCACGAAAGAGGACTTCCAGAACTGCTTCAGAAAGAGACAAGAATGATGGGATAAGTGTGTTCGAAGTGAGGGGTGAATATTTTGAGGGGGATTAATGGCAGCGTGTCTTTTACTGTAATAAGTTTTTTTTACTTAAACATGCACTGTATTGTTTGATCACACCTTGTAAGTGGCATAAATATGTTTTTCTGCATCAGGATTAGTTTTATCTGTTATACTTGTGATTTGTAGGTAGAAATAGTAAATTAAATTTTCTGGTATGATTCTAGAGTTCAATAATTCAGTGGGCCATGGGTTTGAAAAGATGTTGTGTTTATAAAAAGAAATAGAAAAAGGAAATAAACATTAGGAAATTGAAATTTTTTTCTTCTTTTGAAGAAAATATTATGAAATTCTTTAAAGGGAAACAGTATTCAAAAACAATAAAATTAGCCACTATCCAAAGATCTTAACTCACAGAATAATTTTTAACTAAGATTTTTTTTAATCTTTGCTTATACGTAAATATAAGCCGCAAGAAAAGTTCGGATATGAAGAAAATTATACAAGGCCAGGGCTTGGGTATGTTCATTGTTGACTAAATCAGTCCAGTTCCTGCAGAATCTTTTAAAATAGGTAACAAAAATCTACTAAACCACTTCTGAGCATCAGCTAGAATTTTCCCAGGTGTATAGCTCTGCATCCCGGCCCTGAGATAGTTGAGAGATTCCCAAGCCAAGTCATCCTACTTAGAAGGAAAAATTTTTGCTGTGTATGTTGTTTCGAAATTTTTTTCTTTAAGGACCATGTAAAATTCACCTTTTTTCAGCAGAACTTAGGTTTTACATTAGTGCTGGCTATTTAGTATCCAAAAACATTACTTTTTTTGGACTTTAGCCAGGTTACATAGTGCTGAAAGTAAATGAGTGTCAAGTGTGGTTGGAAATAAAATTTTGACCTTTATGTGTACCCTCACAAGCAATTCTAACGTTACTATTTGACTCCAAAAAACAGTTTTGAACTTGGTTGGCTTGAGAGCTACAATCTGTTGTTTTCCTACCAGTTATCTGTAAAGCATCTTAAAAATTAGCATTTTACAACATTTATTGTATTGCATTTTTGGGAAATAATATATAACTATAACCAATGATTTGTTTTTCTGAGAGTACCTCAAAATAGCAAATGTAACTTGATTTAAAGGGAATTTTTTTGCTGATATTTTTTAATAATATTAAAAATTTTTTATTTTGTAGAAAATATGCATAACATAAAATTTACCATTTAACCAATTTTTAAGTGTGCAGTTCACTAGCATTAAGTATATTCACATTGTTTTGCAACCATCAGCATTTATCCATCTCCAGAACTTTTCTCATCTTCCAAAACTGAAACTCTTTATTTTTTAAATAATAACTCCTGATCCCTTTTGCATCCAGCCCTTGGCAACCACCATTCCACCTTCTGTGTCTATGAATTTGACTACTTTAGAACCTCACATAGTGGAATCATACAGTATTTGTCCTTTTGTAACTGACTTATTTCACTTAGCATAATGTCTTTAATGTTGTTGCACATGTCAGAATTTCCTTCCTTCTAACACTAAATAATATTCCAGTCTATGTATGTAACACATTTTGTTTATTCATCCATTGATGGACACTTGAGTTGCTTCCACGTTTTGGCTATTGTGAATAATGCTGCTGTGAACATGGGTGTAGAAATAGCTGTTTGAGTCCCAGCTTTCGGTTCTTTCGGTATATATGTAGAAGTGGAACTGCTGGATCATGTGGTAATTATATTTTCAAATTTTTTAGGTATCGCCATGCTGTTTTCCATAGTATCTGTACCATTTTACATTCCAACCAGCAGTATACAAGGCTTCCAGTTTCCCTACATCCTTGCCAACATTTATTATTTTCTGTTTTTTTTGGTAATAGCCATCCTTTAAAGAGGAAATTTTAGTTTTTCTATTTTTATTTCTTTTATGTGGCTCATTTTGGCCTTAGCTTTGGTAGAACTATGATCTGTTCAGTCATTAGTGTCCTTATTCTTGTTGAAAATACTATCATGTATTTTTTACTTTATTATTTTATTGTTCACTAGCTTGTTTTGGGTGCTCTTTTCTCTATTTTAGTATAATTTTTCCACATTAGTCTGTCTTCTTTCTATAAGAAGAGAAGGCACTGAGAGTACCAAGTGAAAATATGAGGAATTTGAGGAATAATGATTCAGAGGTTAAACTCTCTGGTGTAACATACACCACTTTAGGGTTAACACAGTTCTATAACTTTTTTTGTTCTTTTCCTGTATCTCAGCTTCCATATCATATTTATGGTAATCTCCTGGTTTAGGGATTAGTTACTGTAATAGAATTAGAAGTAACTTTAGTGCTCATAACACTTTAAGGACTTTATATAAATATAATAGCTTAATTTTAAGTGGAAAAAATAATTTGCTGGTGATTTTTTTTTAAGATTTTTATTGGGGAATTGGGGGAAGGGGAACAGACAAGTTGCTGTCCTTTTGTTCTTCAGTCTAGTTGTGGAGGACATTGCTTCAGTGGCCCAGGTTGGCACCATCATTACACTCTTCCCGGGCAAGGCAGATCAGTCACTGGCTTCTGGATGGCCGCTCACTGCGGCTGCTGGCTGCTCACGCTGGCTGCTGGCTACACACGGTAGCCCATGGCAACCCACTGCCACAGGGGCTGCAGCCTACGCCGTCGCCGGCGACTCATGGCTGCCCAGCTCCAGGTTGAGCTGTTGTTCAGCATCTTAGCTGTGGAGGGCAGTGTCACTGACCCTCATATGTGGGATCCGCACCGGGGTCCTCTGGCGTCCCAAGCCAGTTCTTAACCATTGTGCCACTCGGCCGGCCCCTGCTGGTGATTATTTAGTCTTCACAAGAGTGAGTCTCTGTTAGCTGGAAGCAAAACTACTTATAAGTCTATTTTTTAACACCCAACTTTTTTTATGCTCTAGAGCTGGGCTGTCAATATAGTAGCCACTAGCCAGGTATGTCTATTTAAATTACAATTGGAGTAGCTACATTTCAATACTTAGTAGCCACATGTAGCTAGTGATTACTGTATTGGACAACACTGATAGGAACATTTTGTCTGATTGATTATTCAGCTTCAAAGTTTGAATCTTCTCTCTCATTCTCTTTTCCATCTTGACAGTGGTTTTTTTTTTTCTGTCCTTCAAGATCCTTTGAAATCCATTTTGTATTCTTTAAGAAAACCTAACCTATTTACAATGCATTTTCAGAATTCTTAAGACTTTTAGAGTTGGACTGAGGATGCGGTTTAGTAGAAATTGTGGCTATTTTAAGGGTAAAGGAAGAATTTTCATTGATTTGTGTTGAGAATGTGTTAAAAAGTGAGCTCCTAAAGCTCCTAAAGAAATTGTGGCTCTAGGGCCTAGGAAAAGAAAATGTGTGTTTAAACTGAAGGCAGACAGTTATGGCAGCTGAATTGGGGGACCCTTTAAGTGAGTCATAGTTATTATAGCCCAGCCATTTTATATGTTCATTAGCTCAGAAACTATGCATGGGTTAACATTTTTGGAAGCATTAAATTTAAAAATTGGGGATCCCCTACCTAAAAAGTTATCTTATATATGCTACAAATGTACTGTCATAAAGTCATCATTAATTGTTCTTACTAGGCCTGTCAAATATTATTCATAGACCTAAAAATTATTGTTTTTAAACTAGTTTCCATTTCACCCCCCCCCCCAAACTTTGACTTCCAAGTCACAGCTAGGAATTGTACATTCCTGATAATTTAATTTTAAATGTTATTATATCATCCTAATAATTTGTTTTTACAAGCTATAGATAGACCTTTCTGTACCGATGGGAAAGCGTTTAATTGTATGGTATTTGAAATAGGGTGTCATGATTTGACATAGTATGTAGAGTATAAATCAGAACTTTGCTAAGTTTCTTAATGATTAAAGAGCCAGTTTTCTTTTTGTGAGTATATTATCTTCACTAGTGTTCAGTAATTGGCCCAGGAGATGCCACTAAGCTAGACAAGGCAGTGCTGTCTATTTTGTATGCACTTCTCATTTGGTAGCTGCAAGAATACGGTTATACTAGCAGTTGGATTGCAGTATTAGAGATGTGGAGGGAAGGCAGAGATTAAGGTGCCTGCTAAATTGTTATTCAATACTGACTGGAAAGAAAAAGACTGAGTGTGCATTTTAATATTTTAAATTCATATAAAGCTTTTTAAAAGTTACATAAATGCTGCCTTTATTTCACTTGATACATGTGTACTTATATATACATTCTTAAATTTTGCCCCTGGTAACTTTATGTTATGTTAGAAATAAATCAAGTATTTATTGTAGTACCTTATAAATGTTGAACTGGAACACAAAAGTAGGGTTTTCTTTTTTTATTAGATTGATAGGATGAAGATGTGAGAATGAATGGTAAGCTTGAAGTAAAAATTGCTTAAAATTTTTTTTTCCAAGAAGAAAGACTGTGTTGTTTGATGATAGCCAAAGACTGACTGAGCATTTTGGCTGTATTCCGAATTCTGCCACTGACTCACTGTGTTTTTTGGCAAGTAACTTATCCTCCCTGAAACAAGTTCTTGATTCTTTACTTCTCTGTTTGTAAAGTTAGCATAATAATATTGTACTGACCTCAGAATGGTTGTGTAATGGTTTCCCGCTTTAGAACTTTACAGCATCAAAATAGTATGGATTTTCAATGCCTTGCTTTTAAAATAAATACTGGTAAATTTAAATCTTTTTATTAGGTAAGGATATTAGAGATACCATTTTAAGTGAAAAAAAAAAACAAAAACAAAAAAACCCAACAAAACAAAACAAAAAACCCTGAAAAACAAAACCCTCTTTGTACTGTTCAAAACATAGCCAAGCTTTTTACTCTGATGAGTTTTTAGTTATTTACAACATATTAAGAACTATACCCTATGAAGTATGAATTATTGTTTTATTTATTTCTTTTAGTGTCAGAAAAAAGAAGAATTTATTGAAAGAATTCAAAGTTTAGATTTTGATACAAAAGCAGCAGTTGCCGCACATATTCAAGAGGTAATAACCTGTATACAGTTTTTCTGTACTTTTTATGAATCTTGTGGTGTATTTATTTGTATGTCTACCCCCAAAAAATTACAGTCATAGGATAAGCAAGAACAAATCAAGGTCAAATATAGATGAACCCTGCTTTTAGACACATTGCCATTTTCTCTTTAGAGATAGTTTCTTATACATGGCACAGTGCTAACTATAGATGTACTATTGCCTTTATCCAGAGGGGCATAGGCAAAAAGTGTTATTTGAGGAATGAAGTATGCTCATATGTTAGACAGCACAGAATGAATAGTATAGTAAACGGAAGCAACAAAAATGAATCATTGCATATAATTTAAACTGAGGTAAGATGATAGATAACCTTAGTATTTTGTCATTGCAGTAATTTTCTTTTGAATGAATGGACACAGGCATAATTTTTATTGACGATATTACCTGAATTATAAACACATTAGTGATTTGTAACATCCATATAAAAACTTAAATCTAGGACATTGTACAATGTCAAATAACTGAACTTAAATAATTTATTCAGATTGCCTTTGATAGCTGCAGTTTCTGCCTCTATCTAGTCTTGGGCTTTTAATCTTGTGTACATAATAAGACTTTTTAGAACTAGAGCATGTTAAATTTTGCATGTTGATTTAAATAGAATTAAGAAAAAGTAACAGAGAGACTAAACAGTGAATATTGATAGTATTTAAAATATTCTCTTATTTAAATGACTTTGTGTTCTATATATCATATTTTCTCTTAGTTAATGTTTATAGCGCCCAGCTTTCTTGTCAGTAATATCAACAGTAAGCACATTAGTACTCTACAAGATAGAGTTTTATTGGTAGTTTCCCTTTACATATATTTGTTTATGCCACCTTTGTGGCTTGTTTGTATTTTGAATAAATGCTAAACTTTGCAAGTTACTAAATTTGACACCATTCTTGCAAATGTTATTTTTGCTGCTCATTGTGAAAGTTACAGCAAAATATGAAAATCAGAGTGAGAAATGGAAAGCAAGAAATAAGTATTTCACTGATATAACTTTTCCATTCTTTAAAAAAACCTTTATATTGGGAGTCCTTTTCTCCTAAGGGTCTGTGATGGTGTCATCTTCAGAATCTATAAAGACTTAGCTTTTCAAGTATAAAAAGGCAATAACTTATATCCTACAGGATTAAAAAACTTTCACTTTTGAATTCAAGTAAAACAAATTGACTATTATGTAAAGAAAAGTTAAATTGATTTTCTAAAGCAGTTGTCAGACATATCAATATTACCTTTCTTTAAGAATGTCCTGAATTAATTATCTTTTTAATTGACTGGAAAATAATATAAATTCATTTAAAGATTATATATATATATATATATAATTTTTTTAAAAAGATTTTTATTGAGGAATTGGGGGATGGGAACAGACAAGTTGCTGTCCTTTTGTTCTTCAGTCTAGTTGTAGAGGATGTTGCTTCACTGGCCCAAGTTGGCACCATCATTGCGCTATTCCCGGGCAAGGCAGATCAGTCGCCAGCTTCTGGACGGTCGCTCACTGCGGCTGCTGGCTGCTCATGCTGGCTGCTGGCTACACACGGTAGCCCATGGCAACCTACTGCAGCAGTGGCTGCAGCCTACGCCGTCACCAGCAACTAATGGCAGCCCAGCTCCAGGTTGAGCTGTTGTTCAGCATCTTAGCTGTAGAAGGGAGTGTCACTGGCCCTCATATGTGGGATCCGAACCAGGGCTCTCTGGTGTCCCAAGCCAACCATTAACGCGCCACTCAGCCGGCCCAAAGATTATATTTTTTAAAAATAATTTTTGTAGACTTTTTATCATTCAATAATTTAAAAAACATTTTAATATTATATTTACTTTTTATATTTTTATTATATGAGATATATAGTATTTGAGCTAATATGCATTTTAAAATGAAAGTATTAGTCATTTTTTTAATTGTTTAATTTGTTTGCTTTTTTAAAGGTAACCCATAATCAGGAAAATGTGTTTGATCTGCAGTGGATGGAAGTGACGGATATGTCTCAGGAGGAAATGGAACCGCTCTTGAAAAATATGGCATTGCATCTAAAAAGACTTATAGATGAGAGAGATGAACATTCAGAGGTTTGTAAATTTGTTTCAGTATATTACCAGAGTTTGCTTAAAAAAAAATAAAGTAGCATTCAGAGATACTTCAGAATTGATACTCTGTTTCTTAGGACAGGTAATAAAGTACTGTATGTCCTTCTTTGTGTGCAACACAGGAACCAGAAAGGACATAAAAGAGCCCCAAATTGCAATTAGGTTTACTTTTCTCCTTTCCTTTTAAATTATTATTATTCTGATTTTGTTCCTATGAGTTTTTTAAGTCATCCCCATAGCTCTGGCAACAGTACAGGAGTGTGAAACTGAAAATATCGTTGATGTAAGTGGAAAAATCATTGCCTTGATGCATAAGAATTTGCTTAAAGTTAATTTCTTAGTTTTATTGCCATGTGAGGTTGAAAAATAAGTATTAATAAAAGAAGAATAACAGGTGTTCTGAATAAAATGTCCCACAAAAGTTCTCAAATTTTTGTAGTTAGTATAATGAGGTGTGATATTTAAAAAGGGAATTATTATGAGCTCTTTTAAGGGAGAACTTTGCTTTTTAAAAAGAGTAAAATTGCTCCAGATTTTTTTGCCTGCACTCACTGAAAGCAGCTTATAATTTTTAGAGGAGTCTAGACTTCAGTGCATGTGGTGGTGAGTAATATTTTCTTAATAGCAGCCTAAAGTACTCTGCCATTCAGGGGAATGTATAGCTTTCATCATTTGTTCCATTTGCATGGAGACAGATTTGAGCTTATTTATAGAGACTTTGATTACTCTTGGGACAAATGAAAGACTACATAGAAGAAATTTCTAAAGATTTATTTTTCTGAACAAAACTTCCATGTCTCTTTAGAGTATATTCAATTCTTATGAGTATGTTCAGTTTTTCTTCAGGCATTTAGAGAAAAAAATGTAGGAAATAAAGAAATATTTTAGAGCAACAATTAAATTTTAAAAAAGCTAAGATAGTGAGACCAAAGGAAGGAAAGAGTGAATTGAAAAAAATCCCTACTATATACCAAACTTACTGAGTTTTATTTCATTTTTCAATCTGATTTTTTAACCATATGCTGTATTTTTTTATATTAGTTTTTTTTCCACTACTCACTTTCTAGAACGTTCCTCTGTATTTTAAGATATTAAAGGTATTTTGATAAGGTATCCTCCAACTTCTGAGGAATTAACTTCTAAAAATCTGTACTTTGGTTTCATATGATTGATGGACTTGTATAAATTGATCTCACGTGAAATGATTAATATGGAGTAGAGTACATTATTTGAGAAATGTGAACAGAATACTTGTTATTACATGATCTGTGGTAAAACTAAAAGGAATAATAAACACTCAATATAGTGATTGTTTGAAACACCTTTTCAAGTCCTGCCTGATTAAACATTTTAGTTGAATCTGTTCTTCTAACAAGGAAAAAAAAGTGGTTGCATTCTCCTGTCTAAGGTATTCAGGAAACAAGTTGCTAGCTGGTTTAAAATTAATTTTCTGGGGATAAAATTCAATTTGGGTCACCAGTGGATTAATTAGAAAAGATAATTTAAAATAATTATGAAATATTATACAAATGTAACAGTATGTAAATATAATAATTCTGTATCCTTTAATTTGATTAAAGCAAATTCTTATTTAGATTTTCCCTTTAGCTTTTTTTATTTTGATTGATCTTTTGTCATAATTGTTTCACGTCAATCTAGAAAGTATAATTTGGTCACTCTGTTTTTAATTACTCTTCACTTTTTTGTTACTAATGTTGTGGAACAGTGATCTCTTCAGTTCTCTCCCTTTACTTAAAATCAAGTAGGAGATTTTAATGATTTTACTGTCACTGTTTATTTTATGTCAAGCTTTGTGTTATAAGTTTATTCTATACTTTTATTAAGTCTGCACAATAACCCCATTTTACAGATGAAAATACTCAAAATCAAAGAAGTGAAGTAACTAATGCTTGTGTTCCTAACCATTATGCCTTTGCCTAAATCCATGATTGTGCTGTGTATATTTCTGATTCTTTTCCTTAATGAGTTCTATAAATAGAATTATTAAATCACCTGAATTTTTTTCTTAGCATTTATGATCTTTTTATGTTCATTCTTTAACATCTATTAATAAATACCTTCTTTTTTGCAAGATCTTGTGCTAGAGTACTTGGGAGCAACAAACTGACAAACTTTCAGAAAACAAAGATTGTAACAATCTAATAGGGAAGTTATTTTAATAAAATTACTAACTGTAATAAAATTTTCAAAATGATAAGTACCAAACATTTAGACATATATTTACATAGTATAGGAATTTCATGAAGGAAGATGCTACTTGCAATTGCTAGTGGAATGTCTAGGCTCGGAAGAATCAGAGAAGGCTCTAATGATATTTCCTGTCAGATTCTTTGGAAAATGTTCATAGGCCTTCAACTCAAGAAACTACCACCATTAGAGAAAAATCAAAGTGTTGACATAATATTTAATAGAAAACACTCTGGATACTCTTCATTCTTAGTAAAAGGTTTCTTTCTTTCCTATTTTTCTTTTTAAAACATTCTTCAGCCCATAGTTCTTTTGTGCTCTTTTCATTGGCATCTGGAAGCTCTTGATATCTCCATTTTACCACCTATTCAGTTCAAATGTAGAATGTGTCTTCAGTACTTTTCTTTTTTTTTTTTTTTTAACTGAGCCATCCTGCCACTTGTTGGCAGCTCAACAACAACTCAGCTTGGACCAAGAATCGAACCAGCAACCCTGTTGCTCAGAGCTCACACTCTTGAGCAAGCTCTTAACCAACTGAGCCACTTGGCCAGACCTTCAGTACTTTTCTTGAGTTCTCCATTTTGTGAATCAGTTAACTAGCTTTGAGCAGCTCTTTTTGTGTTCAGTACTATGCTGGATACGATCATAGATACAAAGGGGGCATAAGAAATTGTATCTGGTTTACCAGAAAAAAAACACTATATTGCAAATGAAAAACAAAAGGTAACATAATTAATGTAATTTATTTGTACATGAAAGACATATTTATTAAACACTTAACTATATGTAGTACTATTGTTAGAGTTAGGAGATGTTGAAGGCAAGATGAAAGATAATTGAGATAGTAAGAAAATATACAAATAAAAGTTGACTCCATGTAGATTGAGCCTGGGCTACTATGAAGAGTAGTGACACATCTCACAGTGGATAAGATAAAGTAGTGTGAGTGAACATATAAACTACTTTTCAAAAAGTAGCATTGAAAGAGAAACAGAAGGGTAGCCAGAGGGAAATGTGATTCCGCCCCCCCCCCACACACACACACACACTGTATAGAAGAAACTTTATATCCTTGAAGAACAAGGAGGAGAAAAGCCAATTGAAAATGTTATAGAACTAAGGAATATGTGTTGAGAGCAAGAGATGCATAAAAATGGAGGAGTTAATCTCAGGTGGTTTTGTTTCTTTGACAAGTTGGAGGAGAGGTCATTTGTTGGAAGTGGTGATGGCTGTTTGTAGTTTGAGGCTTAAGTAAAGAAAAGGGAGTATATTTACAGTAGCCATTGTGGGGGAATTTGCCAGGAAATCAGCAAGATTTTCAATAAAAGGATTGATGGGCATAGGAAAGAGGTTAGTTGACAATGGATGGCAAGATCTGAGGTAGGGCTGTTTATTTTGTTTTGTTTATTTTTCCCTAAGAGTTTTTTATCATCTTGGAGCAGGAATAGAAAAAAAAAACAAAAAACTGAAAACTTCTGTTAGGTAAGAAAAAATTATGTAGTGTTAAAGTCAAATTTGAATTCCTATTGTGCCTATCATTAATTGTGTGACGTTGGTTAAGTTATTTAATCTATATGAACCTCAGTTTCCTTATGTCTAAAATGGACCTAATATTTATACCTCTATTGCAGATTAAAGTGTTGGATAAAATCTTGGAAAATCTCCTAGCTAGGAGTTCTATAAATATTAGTCCTCCCTTTTCTTTCCCAAAGAGTGAGCCATAGCCAAAGATAGCATGGTAGTGTTAAATTAGAAAGGAAGGGTGACATTTAAGATCCTAATTGTAGTTCCAGGCTGAGTAGGAACTCTAGAGTAGCCAGGAAAAAATCTGTTTGGCTGGGCAAAACGGGGGAGTTGAATGATTAAAAGTTCAGGCATAATAAACTTCAGGCATAGTGACATGGGAATAATACTAGTAAAGGAGGAGTTGCACAATAGAGGAATGGTTCCCTCACTGGTTAAGCCTATATGTATCAAAATAGGAGTGGATGTGGAGTTGTACCGAGAAAAGGAATTGGGAAAGCACATTCTGTGGTTTATCAATAAACGTACAGGAATCTGTGAAAGTGATAGTTGGACAGACCTTCTTCATTCAGGTACTGAAATATATTCCAAGGATAAAGAAATTAATTCTGATGGGTGGAAAAGTAATGATTCATTGAAGGTGATATAAGACTTGGTGATGAGAAACAAGTAGCAAGGATGGCAATTTCATAGTCCCAAGGTGGCAATCCCACCCATTTTATCTGGAATAGAAGGACAGTTGAAATTGCTGTAGAAGGCAATTGCTTGCTGTTTGCCTGAGATGTTTGGGGGGAAAAGCTGAGAAATTGTTTTAGAATAAGAGAATTTTCCAATAAAAGGAAAATTAGGGAAATAGAGGAAACATGATTGAGTGAGGTACATGTAGGCTAAAAAGCCCTTAAAGTTTAGATTTAGGATAAATAGAAGAAGATTTGTGTCCCATGAAGGGTCTCTAGAGAAAAGACTAAAAGAAGCATTGAGTTGGGGAAGCAGATTGATGGAACTATAATACTATTGAAGAGAGAAAGTATAGGATATGGAGTCAAGACACTGGTCTGGAGTCTTGACATTGCTACTAGCTAATTGTGTGATCATGGACAAATTAGTCTCTGTACCTCAGTTACCTTACCTACAAAATTAAGAGATTGAACTAAACCTCTGAGGTTCTGGTAGGTCCCTCTGAGTCCCTGTATACAATTCTAATGCATTGTTGTCCAGTTCTGCAGTGATGACAAGATTGTATTTCTGCACTGTCAAATGTAATGACCACTAGCTACATGTGGCTGTAGTGCACTTGAAATGTGCCTAGTGTGACTAAGGAACTGTGTTTTTAACTTTTTAAATTTGTACTTAAATAACCACTTGTCTACTGGCTACCATATTGGACAGCATAGTTGTAGACATACCACTCGTGGGTTAATTTCTTTGCTATGTTGACAAGTTTTTTATGACTTTCCTACAGTTGCCATCTGGTCTACTTATTTTCACCACAATCGACTTCTTTTGTTCAAAAACAAAAAAGTATTAAGTCTTCTTCTAGTGTTATCCACTAAATAGCTTATCCATGAACTGTTGAATCAAACTTTTAAGAATGACAGCTAAATGTGACAAAAGTAAGATATTTTAATGAATTGTTTTCAATCCTGTAGTATAGTACTTAGACTCAGTGGATAGTGTTCATGTATTTAGTTCTTTGATATGTAGAATACTAAAAGTGATTCTGTGTTTATTTCCACATTTCCTCAGACTATCATAGAACTCTCCGAAGAACGAGATGGTCTTCATTTTCTACCCCATGCCTCTTCATCTGCACAATCACCCTGTGGTTCTCCAGGCATGAAACGAACAGAAAGTCGACAACATCTGTCAGTGGAACTGGCAGATGCTAAGGCGAAGATAAGAAGGCTTAGGCAGGAATTGTAAGTTGCTTATTTTCAAGGCTCATTGAATTTATATGGTCACAAAGGTTACCTACACAATATTTTTAGGCTTGTGGAATATAGAGAGTAATTCCCAATTGTTAACCTATATCAAATTTTTACTAGTTTTTGCCAAAATCAGAAAAATTTGGAGACTGGCATAAAGTTTTTCAAATGCTAAATCTTACCAATTTAAAGGTTTCCCCTCTATTCTGGTTTTATGCCCTTCCTATCTGTCTAGTGTTGAAATAAATGTCTTTTATAAAATGTTCTTCCTTGGCAAATTGGGATCTCCTTAATTTATTTTTACATGCTTAAAATAAAAATCCTGGCAACCAATGATGCAGATCAATAAGTTAGCTCTTGTAAAATTAATGTTATAAAAGACTGAATTGTTGGCATTTGGTATTACAAAAAATTAGTTTTATGTGTGTATCTCCTTCAGTGAGTAATGGAAATGCTTGACTCATGTACTTATAGATGGTAAATATTCAGATTGGTTAGTGCTGGTGAAATTTATTTAACTTTCAAAGATCATTGCAGAAAAGTCAGTATAAATATCACATAGGCATTCCTTGGTGAATCGCATGTGAAGATATGACCAATCTCAGCTGGAGACTTATTTTGCTCTTTAAAACGAACAAAGGATTTTTGTGTTTTCGGCTTTTTCCTTTTTTTTTTTTTTGCTTTGTTTTTCTAGAATTTGGGTTTTAGAGTCTAGATTTTAAATCTAAAGCCACAATATAGCAATTAAGTTTATTTACTGATTATTTAAAGTAGTTGGTTTAAGAAAGTGATTGAATATGCAAGGTAGAGAAAATATACAGTCTATAGGAAAATTTGAAAACAAAAAAAATACAGCTTTCATTGTGGATGTCTGCATTATTATGTATCCATTGAAGTGAACACGCCCAGGATATTCTATAAACAGCTGCACCAGGAAAATTAGGGAAGAGATTGCTGTTATTAGTTTGACTGGCAGTTAATGGGTAGCCTAAACAGTGAACACTAGTTCGTTCCATATAATTTAGCACAATCTTCTGCAGTCTTTAGATAAAGCATGCAATTAGAGCTGCAATAATGGTTGTGAATTCATTTAACATTTTGCACTATATTAGAATTTGATTTTTAAATAAAATTTACTTGGCCATGGAGTGTATTAAAATTCCAAACATATGCTAATTGGAAAAAATGAATATTTTTAATAAATATTGCAAATATAGCAAGTATTCCTATTAACTATCATCAGATTCCATGTAATATCTTTGCTGTCCTTTGAAAATGTGTTCCTTGATGGATTTCTTCTGTTAACCTTTGTTTTAAGTCTTTTTGCTGGGACAGATCTTTACTAAAGTGATGAAGTATGGAAGTCAGGATGGGTAAAATTAGCTTAGATTACCATAGAACTAATGGAAATAAATAATACTAGTGGAAAAAAAACCCCATACAAATTAATTAATAACATACTTATGGGCGATACAACATAATATAATTGCTTTTGATCTATTAACATACAGAGTAAAAGTATTTGCAATTTGGTTGGAAGAAGTAATTCCTTATAAATTTTATTTTTATGCAGTGGTTAACACTATCAAAAACTTTCTTAAATAATTTCCTGTCTCCATGGGTGCTATGTTTTCAAAGAGGTTTTTTTCTCACAGACATTATTCTGTTTTTAATAACAGCTTTATTGATATATAATTCACATGTCAGGAAATTTATCCCTTTAAAGTGTACAATTCAGTGGTTTTTAGTATATTTAGTATATAGAGTTCAGCAACCATCACACACTCTCTAATTTCAAGACATTTTCATCACCCCAAAAAGAAACCCCATACCTATTAGAAGTCACTCCCTAGCCGTCTTTGCCCTTGACTCCTGGCAAACACTAATATGCTTTCTATTTCTGTGGATTTGCCTATTCTGGATGTTTCATATAAATGGAATCATACATTATGTGTCCTTTTGTGACTGGCTTTTTCACTTACAATAATGTTATCAAGGTTCATCCATGTTGTAGTGTTTATCAATACTTCATTCCTTTTTATGGTTGAATAATATTCCATTATATGGATAGACCACATTTTGCTCATTGACTTATCAGTTGATGGGGCATTTGGATTGTTTACATTTATTGGCTATTGTGAATAATGCTCCTATGAACATTCATGTGCACATGTTTGTGTGGACGTACATTTTTAGTTCTCTAGGGTGTATAGGAAGGAGTGGAAATGCTGGGTCATAAGGTAGTTATGTATGAGGGCTCCAATTTCTCCATATCTTCACCAATATTTGTTATTATCCACGTTTTTGGCTATAGCCATCCTAGTGGGAATTCATATCTCATTGTGGTTTTGACTTGCATTTCCCTGATGATTAATGATGTTTAGCATCGTTTTGTGTTCTTATTGGCTATTTGTATATCTTCTTTGGAGAAATGTCTATTCAGATCCTTTGCCCGTTTTGTTTTTTTTTAAATATTTTTTATTGGGGAATTGGGGGGATGGGAACAGCGCTGGGGAACTAGGGGAAGGGAAACAGACAAGTTGCTGTTGTTTTGTTCTTCAGTCTAGTTGTGGAGGACATTGCTTCACTGGCCCAAGTTGGCACCATCATTGCGCTCTTCCTGGGTGAGGCAGATCAGTTGCTGGCTTTTGGACGGCCGCTCACACTGGCTGCTGGCTATACACGGTAGCCCATGGCAACCCACTGCCACAGGGGCTGCAGCCTACACCGTCGCCAGCGACTCATGGCAGCCCAGCTCCAGGTTGAGCTGTTGTTCAGCATCTTAGCTGTGGAGGGCAGTGTCACTGGCCCTCATATGTGGGATCCGCACTGGGGCCCTCTGGCATCCCAAGCCAGTTCTTAACCATCGTGCCACTCGGCTGGCCCCCTTTGCCCATTTTTAAATTTTATGAGATAAACTTTTAAGCAGATCGTTGAAATAACATGAATCTGAAGGTGTATTAGAAGTTGTGTAGCCTGCAGTTGAAACCCAAAGGAACTGTTGTCACTTCTGAGTTGGGAGAGAAAAGGAAGTGGTATCAAGAATATAGATAGTCACATTTCCATTGATGTTAGACATTAACTAGGCTGAAAATGCTCAATTGTGTATTCTAAGCAGAGGGAAGTGCAACAAGTTCAGTAGGATATAAGTAGGGGCATGGCCAGAGATGAAGTTGAAAATGATGTAGTGGATGTGTGGATGGTCATATATTGCAGTACTCAGAAATTTGGACTTTAAATAGTGGGGACAACTGAAGGTTTTTATGCATAGTTACAAGATCAGATTTATGTTTTAATAAAGAGATATTAGTCTAGTGGCTGACTCTTAGTAAGTGTCCAAACAGAAAAAATAAATTCTGGTGGCAGTGTGAAAGTGGAGTGAAGGACAGTCCAGGCAAGAAGTGGTGCGGGCCTGATTTAAAATTATAGCAATGAAGCTGGAAAGGAGGTAAGGGAGAAGGCAGGGCCTTTGATATAATTCCTAGTTTGCTATAATCAGTGTCTATTTGAATGGTTGATGCTGTTCACTTGTAATATAAGAGAGAAGAATAAGATTAAGGTAAAAAGACACGTTTAGCTTTTGACATATTTAGTTTGAGGTACCCTATAAATATCTCTCTGGAGATGTTTATTGCATAATTGATTGTCTGGTCCACAATGCAGAATAGAGATTTGGGGTCACTAGAATACTGATGCAGAATAATATGCAGCAGGTAGTAGTAGTTGCAACCTTGGGAGTGGATAAAACTGTCCAGGAGAACGTGAAGAATGAGAAGGATGTAATCTGAAGAACACAAACATAAAAAAGGTATTTAACTGGTTATGGGCAGACTTCACCATTTATTAGCCATATTACTGTTTCTTCATTTATAAAATGAAACTTATAATATGTATTGTAGAGAGATACAGCATATGATCAAGCTCATAGCTTTAGATGTATTTTGCCTGAGTGTGAATCCTGACGCAACAATTCTTAACTGACTGACCGTGGCCAAGTTACTTAATGTCTCTCAGGCTGCTCTGTTTCCTAGCCTATTAAGTAGGAAAAATAATTGTGCCTACTGTAGGACTGTTGTGTAAGGTAAATATGTAAAGTGAACAATGAGTAGTACATAAATGCTCAATAAATGTAAGCTGTTATCACTGCTATTATTTTTTTAGAGGGCTCCTGTAAGGATTATGTGCGTGGGAAAGTGTAAAGTGCCTGCAAAATTACTTGGTACAGATAATGAGAGCTTGATCATTGTTAGCCAGAAGATGGGCTCAAAACATGAAACCAGCAAAAGGGTCAGAGAATTAATATGTAGAGAAGTAGGAAACCCTAAGAGTGTGAAGTCATGGAAGCTAAAGGAGAGAGCGTGTCAAGAAGAAGAATGGAGTTAATTAACTGTACTAAATTCTCTAGAAAGATCAGAAAATAATCCACTGTATTTGGCAATAAGAAGGTAATCAACTATGAAAAACAGTGTCATTTGGGAGGTGTGGATAGAAGCCTTATTGCTAGAGATAGAATGGTCAAATGGATGCACAAAGGGAATTATTTTATTAATGAAGCTTGAACTCCTGGATAACTCTTTTGGAAAAATTATTTAAATTTACACATCACGTCCACCAAGTGAATTTCAGATGGGTTAAAGAGCTAAATATAAAAAATGAAATAATGCTGAAAGAACTAGAAATATTTAGATGAGTATATATTTGTTCTCTAGGTAGGGAAGAGCTTTACACAGAAGCAAAAGAAGTATTTATAAAAGGTGGTTGCTCTAGTTGTATAAAAAATGTTAAATATATGAACATCCAGAAAAAATAAGTAAAATTAAAAGCATTGACAATATTCCTTAGAAAGTGAAACATAGACTTTTTCTGTAACCCTGCAATTCCACTCCCTAGGTATATCCTCCAAAAATTTCTAATAGGGACTGAAAGATTCTTGTATGCCATTGTTCATAGCAGTATTCACAATAGCCAAAAGGTGGAAACAACCCAAGTGTCTATGAACAGATGGATGAGTAAACAAAATGTGCAATAGGCATGTGATGGAATATTATTCAGTCATAAAAAGGAATGAAATTTTGATGCCTGCTACAACATGAATGGAAAACAATTTGCTAAGTGAGAAACCAGATACAAAAGAACAAATATTGTATGATTCTACTTAAATGAAATATCTTTAATAGGAAAATTCAGAGAGACAGAAAATAGATTAGAGGTAAGGGCTGGCGGAATTGGACAGTTATTGCTTACTGGGTACAGAGTTTCTGTTTGGGGTGATGAAAAGTTTTGGGAATGATAGTAGTGATAGTTTAACAACATTGTAAATATAATTAATACCACTGAATTGTACATTTGAAAATGGTTAGCATTGCAATTTTATGTTATATAATATAATCACAGTAAAAATAGAATTTGTTTATAATGTTTTTTAGAACATTTGACAAACTGTAAAGAAATACTTGTAAGAACTACCTGGCACAAGCATAAGAAAACAATATTATCCTTTCCTAGCATTCAAATAAATGCAAATTAGAACAGTGACAGCACTTTTCAGTTGTTAAATTGTTACACATATAGGCACTTTTATCCTCTGCCATTGCATTATAAATTGATAATGACCTTTCTGGAGGGCAGTTTGTCAAGTACCTTTAAACCTGTACTTTTAGTTTGTACTTTTAGAATGTACTTTTAGAAATCTGTCCTGAAATACACAGGGTTTTACGTACAATGAATTCATTTACCAAAACAAGGTTTATTACAGTGAAAAATGGAATCCACTTAAGTAAATTAATTATGGTTCCTTAACCAAAGGAAATATTTCTTCATTAAAAATTATGGTGTTGAAAAATGTATGGGTATGAGGAGATGTCAACAACAGATTGGCTTCTACAATGAACATTTACCTTTAATTATTAAAGAACAGAGGTGGAAAAGTAGAGATAGTGAGTGGAAACTTTGAGGAGCTTGGCTCTGAAGGGGAGATAGAAAATGGGAGTTAAAAGTAAAGCAGTGTAAAGAGAAATAAATAGAAATTTAAAGATGTTTATAGACTACAGGGAAGAAACCAACAGAGTTGTAAAGATTTTAGGCATCTGACTTTGTATAATTTCCTTCTGGCCATTGTAAATGTTGAAAATAGTTAGGAGACCCTTGTAAGTTTAAGACACAGATAGTACTTCCTTGCATAAAAACTCTTTTAACTTATTTGTCTTTGACTATGTAGTGAGGGAGCAATGGAGAAAGAGAAAGGAGAGTGGGAATGGGGAATGTTAGGAAGATGAAGAGAGAGAAACTACTTTATGAACTCTGAGGATGTTAATCACTGAGGTTTGCCTTTGCAGAACTTTAGGGGGGGGTTGATTGATGATTTCTAATCATATGAATTCCTAATATCCATTTCTTTGTCTTTCTCTCCTGGGTTGGAGTCATGGCTAATACTATGTTCAACTAGATATTTAGTACTGATTATACATTTGTATTAATGCAGATGACGATCATAGTTTTTGAAAGCAGTAAGCTTATGTTTTAATAAATATTTTTGCATTTAAGGGAGGAAAAGACTGAACAGTTGCTGGACTGTAAACAAGAACTTGAACAAATGGAAATAGAACTAAAAAGGCTGCAGCAAGAGGTTTGTACCTGAAACTTATACAGGACCAATAAGTAATTGGAAATTAATTTTCTCCATATAATTTATAACCTTTACCTTAATACATACTTTATGTGTTTACTGAGGCATAAAGAGCTGATGACTTTTTCATTGTTTCTCTCTTCAGAAATGCCAGAGCCAAAGTAGAAATCAAGGTCTTTGGACTTTTCTTTATTCTACATCAGTGCTATTTAAACTTTGCTAAGATTCACATTAGAACTGGGGCAGTTATGAGTTTCTCTTTTTTTGTATAATTGGCTTCTGTGGACTTGGAAGTTGGAACAACTCTATTGTAAATTATACTACATATGTGTATCTCCTTAGGTCTCTACTGTCCGATAGTGCTTTATGTTAATTTGTGTATCACAGAATACTTTCTAATTTTCCATTCTTTCCTATTAAATAAGATCAAAACCTTTTACTTTTGAAAATTTATTTTTGTTTTACTAAAGCTTTGTGTTTTTCATCTTGAACCAAGATTTTTAAGGATTCACTTTTAAGTGCTAGCTGAAGCCATTATTCCTTTGTTCAGCCCTCCTTTCACCCATTGAGCAGATGCAGGCAGGTGCCATATCTGAGTGTCCATCAACCTGGCTAACATCGTTCACTCCACCCGGGTGATTCCCTGAAATCCTGCCCCACCCAACTTGCAGGCCCATCCAGCCATTTCCGGTGGCTTTTTTTTTTAATTGGGGAATTGGGGGAAGGGGAACAGACAAGTTGCTATCCTTTTGTTCTTCAGTCTAGTTGTGGAGGACATTGCTTCACTGGCCCAAGTTGGCACCATCATTGTGCTCTTCCCAGGCGAGACAGATCAGTCGCCGGCTTCTGGATGGCCACTCATGCTGGCTACTGGATACACACAGTAGCCCATGGCAGCCCACTGCAGCAGGGGCTGCAGCCTACACCGTCACTGGCGATTCATGGCAGCCCAGCTCTAGGTTGAGCTGTTGTTCAGCATCTTAGCTGTGGAGGGCAGTGTCACTGGCCCTCATATGTGCGATCCGAACTGGGGCCCTCTGGCGTCCCAAGCCAGCTCTTAACCAACGCGCCACTTGGCCGGCCCTCCAGTGGCTTTAACATACAAACAACCTGTCTTGGCTCATGCTGCGGACTTTCCTGAAATCTCTCCAAGGTTCACAATCCCCAAACAACCAGCCTCTGCCCATAGCATGCCCCGTACCTCTTGATAAGAAGCCCCAATTCTGGCACTAGTGGCGGCTGTCCTCTATTCGTAGTTTAGCCTCTCCCAGGAACCTGCAAGCCAAGCACAAGTGGCAACCATCAGCAGATCACTTTGTAGCTCCTACCAAATGGCACCAGGCAGGGGCACAGGCAGTGGCTGACGTTGGCCTGCACCAGAGCTCCTTCCAAGAGGCCTCAAAACCAATACACCTGGTGGCCACCTTAAGACCACATCAGAGCACCATTCAGCCACCTCCACAAATAACACACCCGAAAGGCAAACTCAGCAGGCACCAGAGCCCTACTAAAGCAAATCCTGCTTTATAGGTCAGCCTCTGTACAACAGCTCCTCTACTATAGTTATAGCCAGTTCTCACAATCAATGAGCCTGAGGGTCAACATTGATGTGCAAACGGCAACCAAGCCCCAACTACAACAGGAGGGCACACAGAACCCACACAAGTGACACACCTAGAGCACCCAGCTCAGGTGACCAGGGAGACTGTTCCACTGGGCCCCACAGGACACCTACAACATAGGGCCTCTCTACTAAGATTGGGAGACAGCAGTTCTACCTAATACATGGAAACAAACATAGGGAGACAGCCCAAATGGGGAGACAAAGAAACGTGTCCCAAATAAAAGCAGAACAAAGCTCCAGAGAAAGAACTAAACAAAATGGAGACAAGGAATCTACCAGATGCAGAGTTCAAAGCACTGGTTATAAGGATGTTCAGTGATCTCAGGGAGAACTTCAACAAAGAGACAGGAAACATAAAAATGCAGATAGAAATTATAAAAAAGAATCAGTCAGAAAAAGAATTCAATAACTGAAATGAAGAATATATTAGAGGGCCTCAACTGTAGATTAGATTAAGCAGAGAATCAAGTCAGCGTTTTGAAAAATAAGGTAGCAGAAAACACCCAATCAGAACAGCAAAAAGAAAAAAGAATTTTTAAAAAATGAGGATTGTTTAAGGGGCCTCTGGGACATCAAGCGTTAACAACATTCACAAGAAGGAGAAGAGCAAGAGTGAGGAATTGAAAACCTATTTGAAAAAATAATGATGGAAAACTTTTCCTAACCTGATGAAGGAAATAGATATACAAGCTCAGGAAGCACAGAGAGTCCCAAACAAGATAAACCCAAACAAGCCCATACCAAGACACATCAAAATTAAAATACCAAAGGTTAAAGACAGAGAGACTCTTAAAAGCAGCAAGAGAAAAGCAGTTACATAGGAGCTCCCATAAGACTGTCCGCTGTTTTCTAAACAGAAACTTTGCAGGCCAGAGGGAATTGGCATGAAATATTCAAAGTGATGAAAGCAAGGACTTACAACCAAGAATACTTGACCCAGCAAAGCTATCATTTAGAAAGAAAGGAGAGACAAAGAGCTTCCCAAAAAGCTAAAGGAGTTCACCACTAAACCAGTATTACAAGAAATGTTAACTGGACTTCTTTAAGGAGGAGAAGGGGGGAAAAAAGATCAAAAGTAGAAGTAATAAGGTCAGAAGCATAGTGGCATGAGGGGTCCCCTTGATCTTCCCCCTTGAAGTTACACGTTAAACAGCTGTAATTCAACAAAGGGTTCCCTGCACAACACACAAGCATATTTGAGAGATCCACACAATGAAACATACGCAGGTGGGTTAATTCGGGCAAACGGGAGGCGGGAAGGGGAAGAGCAGAGATGGGCGCCATAGACGCAGCCCAGAGCTCTGCGGGTCGTGGGAGAAGGAAGGGTTTTGGTTGCAGGTATACTCTCTGAGGCCCTGAGCATTTCTGCCTGAGTGACCAGCAGATAACATAACTGAACCCAACTATTGGGACAGAGACCGAATACAGAAGTGCAACAGCTATGTTTAGCAGCCAACATTGCCAGGCAAGGCAGAAAAACAAAGCTATGGAGCCTGGCCATCTCCCTCCACTCAACCAGAGTTCACCTCCCCTGCACCCTCCCAGAGCTATCAGTGGACCTCAGAAGAAACTGTAGCAGTGAGGGTCAGGTTACAAACCAGAATATCTACAGCCCTGAGAACTGGAGAGACATTTACTGAGCAGCAGGCACACACTGGCTAATCCCAGTAACAAGGTTGGAGATACAGAGGCAAGGCAGCTGAGGTCTGGCAGTCGCCATTACTGGGAGGAGAACAAAGCCACAAACACCGGCAGCCTCCCCAAGCCTATTCTACCCCCTCCCTTAATGCACTTTGGACAGCTCAGGCAGCACAGCTTTGTGTCTGGCTGCAGGAGCCTCACTGGGATTCCAGGGGCTCAGAACCCTGTTACCCACCAGGCTCTCTCACAAGGGTGGTGCTGAGACGAAGGTGACCTTATATTCGATGACCAGAGAATACAAGGGATCTCCCACTGCTCAGCAGAGATATGAAAAGCCTGCTGGAACAGTGCAAGACAGAATAAAATACTTCAGCATCACCTACTGGAAAACAAAATAAAGACCTCTTCTTAACAACCTGTTGCAGGATTCACCCCCAAAGGTGCTTTAGGCAGAGAAATAACCTATCAAATACCATGAACAATCAAGATAACAAGGCAGCTCAGAAAGAAAATGAAAAATATCCAGAAAATAAGCTTGAAGACATAGAAATATGTGACTTAAATGGCAAAGAATTCAAGATTACAGCTCTGAAAAAAAGTCAACGAGATGCCAGAAAACTCAGGCAGTTTAATGAACTCAGAAATAAAATCAACAAACAAAATTAATACCAAAGAGATGGAAATTTTAAAAAGAAGCAGATACAAATTCTAGAGGTGAAGAACTCAAAAAATGAGATTAAGAATGAAATAGTGAGCTTAGGAAATAGAGCTGATGTGATGGAGGAAGGACTTCATGATATCAAAGATAGAAGTCTGGAAATGCCACAGATAGAAGAAGAGAGAGACGAGAGAGACTTGAGAGTTAAAAGAAATGAAAGAACTGTATAAGAACTATCTGACTTCATCAGAAAGAGCAATATAAGAATGGGTAGACCACAGGGAGAAGAGTGGGAGAAGGGAGCAGAGAGACTATTCAAACAAATAGTGGATGAGAACATCACAAACCTGTGGAAAGAACTTGATCCTTGAATCCAAGAAGCAAACAGAACACCTAATTATCTCAATCTGAAAATGCCTTCTCCAAGGCACATTATATTGAAACTATCAAAAATTAATGCAAAAAAAGAATTCACAAGGAAGCCAGATAAAAGAAGACAGTAACTTGTAAAGGAAAGCCCATTAGATTATCATCAGATTTTTCAGCAGAAACTCTACAAGCTAGGAGTGAATAGAAGCAAATGTTCAAACTATTAAAAGACAGAAATTACCAGCGAAGAATAATGTATCCAGCAAAATTATCCTTTAAATATGAAGGAGTAATAAAATCCTTTCCAGATTTACAGAATTGAGGGAATTTTCCACTACAGTACCTGCATTACAAGAACTACTGAAAGAGATAATTCTACCTGAAAGAAAAGACTAAAAGATACAAGACTATAACTAAGATGACTAATAGAAGCAGGAAATTGCAATCCTTATTCAGAATAGGGCATTATACAATAAAGATTAAAGGAGGTAAAAACATAAAAGAGAAGACAATCGCTACTGCAACTTGGAAATGAACTCACAGCATAAATAGGAATAATTTGTGATAACAAAAACAAAAGGGGGTAAAGGTCTGAATTTTCAAAGAGGAATAGAGATGAGGTGCATGCAGAAAAGAAGTCTATATATGAAACTTAAATTTACATGAACTTAATGCTAACTGCACACAGACAAAAAATCCACACCTGAGACACATAATATAAAAGCAGAAACAGATGAAAAAATCATAGGATATCACCAAACTAAAATAACAGACAGAAACACAAGGGCAAACAAACAATGCAGACACCGAACTACCTGCAAACAAAAGATAAAATGGCTATTGGAAATTGTCATATATTAATAATCAACCTAAATGTAAATGGTCTGAGTTCACTAATAAAAAGACAAAGTAGCAGATAAGTTCAAAAAAAAATCCAACCATACTCGTATGCTGCTTTTAAAAACCACATCGCAGCTGCAAAGACAACTATAGACTCAAAGTGAAAGGGTGGAAAACAATACTCCAAACAAATGGCATCCTGAGAAAAGCGGGTGTAGTCATACTTATATTTGACGAAATAAACTTCAAGATCAAAAAGGTAACAAGAGACAAAAATGGACATTTCATAATGATAAATGATACATCAGGAACACATAACACTTATACTCCCAATCAGGGGCACCAAAATATATAAAGCAACTACTAACTGAAATAAAGGGAGAAACTGACAAAAGCACAATTATAGTAGGGGGCCCATTGACAGCTAGGCGTAGATCATCCAAACAGAAAATCAATAAGGAAATATCAGCCTTAAGTTACACATTAGATCAATAGACATAATTGACATTTACAGGGCCTTTCATCCCAGAATACCAGGCTATGCATTCTTCTCGACTGCACGTGGAACATTCTCAAGGATAGACCATGTTGGGACCCAAAACTAGCCTCAAAATATTTAAGAAGATTGAAATCATACCAAGCATATTCTCTGACCATAATGCTTTGAAATTGGACATCAACTGCAAAAAGAAAGCAGGAAAAACCACAAATACGTGGAGATTAAACAACATGCTACTAAAGAACAACTGGGACAAAGAAGAAAAAAAAGGAGAGATCAAAAGATACATATAGATAAATGAGAATGAAAATATATCAAAACTTTTGGAACACAATAAAAGCAGTAATAAAACGGACATTTATATCATTAATTATAGGCCTATCTCTCAACACAAGAAAAATCCCAAATAAACAACCTAATGTTACATCTTAAAGAACTAAAAAAGAACAAATGCATCCCAAAGTCAGCAGAAGGAAGCAAATAATAAAAATTAGAGCAGAATTAAATAAAATAGAGAACAAAAAGACATTAGAAAAAATGTATGCAAGAAAAATTTGCTAGTTCTTTGAAAAGATTAATAAAATTGACAAACCCCTGGCTGGACTCACTAAGGAAAAAAGAGAAAAACCACAAATAAACAAAATCAGAAATAAAAGAGAAGTTATGACGGAATACTGGCAAAAATACAAAGGATCATATAAGAATGCTGTGAAAGACAACATGAGGTTGGACAATTAAGTTCATGAACTCACCCTAGAAAAAGTGCTACATACCTCATTGCTGAATATCACTATGGTCACCTTCCTTAAGTACTTCCCTTGGGAAGCTATGCACCAATGTCATAGCCTAGTCTATTCTTCAAAGCAATTTTGGAACTCTTTCTGGAATGGCCATCAGAGCTGTAGTCTTATTACCCTTGATGTCCTGAATGTCATCAAAATGTCTTCCTTTCAATATTTCCTTTATCTTCAGGTAAAGAAAGAAGTCATTGGGGGCAAGATCTGGTGAGGAGGGAGAGTGTTCCAATACAGTTATTTGTTTATTGGCTAGAAACTCCCTTACAGACAGGCTGTATGAGCTGGTGCATTGTCCTGATGCAAGAGCCATGAATTGTTGGCAAAAAGTTGAGGTCGTTTTTGTCTAACCTTTTCACGCAGCCTTTTCAGCACTTCCAAATAGTAAACTTGGTTAACTGTCCAGTTGGTACAAATTCATAATTAATAATTCCTCTGATATCAAAAAAGGTTAGTAACATCTTTGTAACAAGTTTGCAAACTTAATTGTCTGACTTTGTATGCTACCAAGTTCAATAACCTAGAAGAAATGGACATGTTCTTAGAAATATATAGCCTTCCTATACTGAATCACAAAGAACTGGAAAATCTAAAACGAAGGCTGTAACAAGAAACTAAAGAGGACCCAAAACACTACTTCGGAGGGACATTGCATCATTACTTACAATAGCCAAGATATGGAGGCAACCTGGGTGTCCATCAGTGAATGAATGTATGAAGAGGTGGTGTATATATATACACACACACATATACATACATACATACACACACCATGGAATATTACTCAGCAATAAAAATGAATGAAATCTTGCCATCTGCAGCAACATGGTTGGACCTAGAGGGTATTGTGCTGAGTGGAGTAAGTCAGACAGAGAAAGACAAATGTCATATGATTTCACTTATATGTGGAATCTAGAGAACAGGATAAAGGAACAATCAACACAGAAACAAGCTCATAGATACACAAAGCATTTTGGTGGTTACCAGATGGGAGGGTTGGGGGCAGATGGGTGAAGGGGGAGGGGAGTAAGAGGAGGTACAAATTGGTAGTTACAAAATAGTTATGGGGATGTAAAGTATAGCATGGGGAATATAGTCAGTTGTAATAATTGTATGGTGTCAGATGGGTACTGGATTTATGAAGTGATCACTTCGTAAGTTGTATGTGTCTAATTACTGTGCTGCACACTTGAAACTATATAATATTGTATATCACTTGTAATTGAAAAATAAAAAATATTTAAAAGAAATAATTTACTTCTTTTAATCACATCACAAGGTTTTGTTTTCATTTGGAGATAGCACATGAGGTCTCCTTTAACCCATAAATGGATTGGGGTAAGGCTGGGCAGTTTTCTTCCCCTTACTTTCCCCTAACCTGCCATTTTAACTTAGGGGAATACTTCACTTGCAGGATCATAAACTGGGACCTTTCCAGATGTATGAGATGGGAAATTATAATCTTTATTTCTAGATCTGCTGTGACTGCTTTTTCAGTTCTTGGTAGTAGGGTTTTTGTATGTGTTCCCTCTAAATCAGTGGTTCTCAATCTTTTTGGTCTTGACTTTTCCACTTAAAAATTAACATGGATTATACCTACTGTCATTTACTATATTAGGAATTAAAACTAAGAATTTTAAAATTCTAATTCATTTAAAAATAATATTCAATCGAGTCCATGTTGACATAAAAACTGTATTTTAACTAAATAATCATTATTTTTTTAAAAAAAATAGAATGGTACTCTTACATTTTTGCAAATCTCATTAATGCTTGACTTAATTGAAGACTACTAGATTCTCATATCTTTGTCTGTATTTATTCTGTTAATATATCATATGCCATATAGCCTCTGGAAAACTACTGTGCCCTCATGAGAGAATGAGAGTGAAACGGGCAAATAATGTCTTAGTTAACATGAAAACAGTTTTGACCTCATGAACTCCCTGAAAGGGTTTCAGGAAACTACAGATGTCCTTGGATTATACTTTGATCTACTGTTCAAAAGGATTACAGGAAAGCTTTTAAAAGGTTGAATTTTAATATGTCTCAAATGGTATTAATCATATGCACTATCATTTTACTTAAAAGCATTAAAAAAATTAGCAGGATTTTGGTGTGTTACAACATATCTGGATAGAGACATTATTTCTCTAAAGTAACTAAATGATCAACTTTAGTAATACAGTTTGCCTCTTCTGTGTTTTTACTGTCCTGTATTTTAAAGTTAACTTTTTTACCTTAAATTAATTCTAAATGATTATGTTAAGTAGAGGTTAACTTATTTTAAAATATCCTGAATTTTTTTTACATTCCTGATAATGGAACATTATATAAAAATATGTATATAAATACAAGTTTGTGTACTTGTGTATAAACATGTATGTTTAAAATACTTTTTATTCTTGGTTAAACAAAAAATGCTTTATGTCTCCCCATTTTAAAAAACAACTTAATTGAGGTATAATTTATACACTATAAAATTAACACTTTTAAAGTATATAGTTCATTGATTTTTAGATTCATCAAGTTGTACAACCAAGGATTATCAGTTTGAAAATAGGAAATAATATTTAAAATGTTAATATTTATTTATGTTTAGAACATGAATTTGCTTTCGGATGCACGTTGTGCAAGAATGTATCGAGATGAATTAGATGCACTTCGAGAGAAGGCAATCCGAGTTGATAAGCTTGAAAGTGAAGTCAGCAGATACAAAGAGAGGCTACATGATATTGAATTTTATAAGGCAAGAGTTGAGGTATGTTGCATAATTTAAACCATTCACAATATTGTTTTTCTTTAAAAGTTTTTTTCTAAGTGCATTGAGAATACACTTAATAAACATATGGAACTCTTGAATTGTTGAGCAAACTGTAAATATCTTCAGATGTTTATTTTATGATAGATTAGCATATTGCTTAGAATTTTAAAAAGCGATTTTGGGACATTATATTAATTTTACTGAACTCTTTGGGGCTCTTCTTTCATTCCTTTATTTAGCATTATCGGTAGAGCCAACTTTCTAAGTTATAGTCAGAATGAAGTATTTCTCTCAACAAATTTTAAAATTGTTTTTAGAAGTGAAAGCAAACACATTACTGATCATTTCTCAACTCAGAGTGCTAAATTAAGATCAATAAAGGTGCTTTCATGTGCTTACTCTCAACAAATTATGTAACATTTTATATTAACAAATTAGAAAAAAACAATTTTCCCTATTTAATGATTGCAGTTCAGTGTTACATGCAGGTGAATTTGACAGCAAGATATTGACAATCCTTGTATCTGCATCCTTTTTTCCTTTCCCAGTTAATTTCCTCATTGTCTGTAAACAGTAGGGATTTTGTTCATTTTTAGTATGGGGTTAAGAAGGAAAGCGTATGCAAAAATCAAGGAGTGAAAACATAAGAGTAAGTAGTTAGAACATTTGAACCTGAGAGTTACCAAAAATAGACCCAATTGACTACAGAGATAAGGTGCCTATTCTTTGCCACTTATTTAAATAGGTATATGCATAGCACTTAAGGGTTCATTATAGATGCCACTGTTTTAATACACTTTCTCTTGACTTTAGTTTATAAACACAGTCATATAACTTAGCTAGCTAGATTTGTAAACATGTATCTTCAAAACAGCTGTAGGGATTTTAAACATTTTCTCATGATGCTTAGGTAAAGTATTTATTGATAGAACCTTGGTTTATGATTTAGGTGAGCCTTGGAATTGTACTCAAAAACCCCAAACCTTTCACTTGGAAGTTATAGTTTAGGTGGAGAGAAATCTTTAAATCTATTTCAACAAATTAAGCCCTGGTTCTGTGGAGACTTGTGTCTTAAATATCTGCAAGACTACTTATACTTAGTTCCTTATCCTTGTGACTAATGAATTTCGATATACCCCCACAATTTCATGTGAAATTATAGTAGTATTACTTATCTTAATATAAGTACTTAGTATTTTGTTTGTATAATAGCTTAAATTCTTGAAGAAAAAATGGAACCAAGAAAAAACCAACTATATTTCTGTTACTCGGTAGCTTTACTCTTGCAAATAAAGAATTTTTATGTTTTACAACTTTAAAAAATTAACTAATATTAACATGTTTATGATAAATAAAGCCTATTTGAAATGCTTATAGGAATTAAAAGAGGACAATCAAGTTTTATTAGAAACAAAAACCATGCTGGAAGACCAATTAGAAGGAACTCGAGCTCGTTCTGATAAATTACATGAATTAGAAAAAGAGAATTTACAACTAAAGGCTAAACTGCATGATATGGAAATGGTAAGTATTGTAAAGTAGATCAAACATGGCCCCTAAGGAAGAATTCTAAGATTCATCTGATTCCCTATAATGACAAAGGATGGCTAGTGTCCTTAATGCTTTTTTTTTTAAATTTTATTGGGGAACGGGGGAACAGTGTTGGGTAAGGGGAACAGCCAAGCTGTTGTCCTTCAGACTTAGTTATGGAGGGCGCAGCTAGCTCAGCTCCAAGCCCAGTCGCCATCTGGCTGCCCGTCGGCAGTTTGTAGCCGCTCAGCTCAAGGTGCGGTGTACAATGTTAGTTGTGCATGTGTGTATGTGTGTGGAGGAGGGGGTGGTAGCGCACCATCCCATGTGGAAGTCGAACCCTCTCACCAGCTGAGCCGTCTTGCCACCTGTTGGCAGCTCAGCTACAGTGCAGCTCACTGGCCCATGTGGGAATCGAACCGCAACCCTGTTGCTCAGAGCTCATGCTCTTAACCAACTGAGCCACTCGGCCAGCCCCTTAGTGCTTTAACAAAGAAGAGATAGCTAAATAAATTCAATGCTTCCAATTTTATTTTATTATTATTTTTTAAAGATTTTTATTAGGGAATTGGGGGATGGAAACAGCGCTGGGGAATTGGGGGAAGGGGAACAGACCAGTTGCTTGTCCTTTTGTTCTTCAGTCTAGTTGTGGAGGACGTTGCTTCACTGGCCCAAGTTGGCACCATCATTGCGCTCTTCCCGTGCGAGGCAGAACGGTCGCTGGCTTCTGAATGGCCGCTCACTGCGGCTGCTGGCCACTCATGCTGGCTGCTGGCTACACACGGTAGCCCATGACAACCCACTGCAGCAGGGGTTGCAGCCTACATCGTCGCTGGCGACTCACGGCAGCCCTGCTCCAGGTTGAGCTGTTGTTCAGCTTTTTAGCTGTAGAGGGCAGTGTCACTGACCCTCATATGTGGGATCCGAACCGGGGCCCTCTGGTGTCCCAAGCCAGCTCTTAACCAATGCGCCACTCGGCCGGCTCTCGATGCTTTCAATTTTATATGAATACAGGAGTAGTAGAAGTTTCTACTTTTGTTACAGAGGAGTAGTCATTTTGTCTTATATTTTTCAGAAAACTCATAAGCTATTGTGTAAACATGCCTTTAAAATACAGAAATAAAATTATTTCTCATTTGATAGAGTCATTATATCACTAAAACAATATATTGACTATGAAGAAGAGTTTTCAGCATCCCTAAAGGTCATTTTAAAAGAATGTCAGACACCTGGTCAGTATAAGGACCAGTAAGAATTATAATAACTGGTTATTGCCTTCAAACTGAAAATTTCAGGAACTCAAGATTTAGTCTCATTCAGTTACTGATAAATACAAGTTATAAGCAATGCAATAATACAATATTAGCTTGAAATTGTACTGTTTCTTAGCTTTCTTTTCTCTCCCTATTCCCTGCCAATAAAAAAGGAACGTGATATGGATAGAAAAAAGATTGAAGAATTAATGGAAGAAAATATGACTTTGGAAATGGCACAGAAACAAAGTATGGATGAATCATTACATCTTGGCTGGGAGCTGGAGCAAATATCCAGAACTAGTGAACTTTCTGAAGGTATTCCCAATATTGTTTCATTTAAATGGGTTGATGAATAAATGAAATTGTATTTATGCTTATATATTTAGATATTTTATTGCAGTTCTTTATTTTCCCTAGCTGGAGATGTCTAAGAAGAGGAGCTGTGTCCCTAGATATGAATTCATTGAGTAATATGTTATTTCCACATTCCTAGGTCTGGTTATCTTTGCATGTCTTACAACTCAACTTTTTTGAGTGTAATAACAGATTTTGTCAGTTCTTTATTTTATGTTAATATCACAAGAAACTGGAATACCAGTTTATTAATTTAGTTTGAGAAATCTAACCATTCACTAAATAGAACAGAAAAGTCATACTAGCTGGTCATATTAGCATGTTTTTTTAATATAGGCAAATCTAAATAGGAAGTCAAAACTTAGTGGGAAGATTCTTAGGTGAATACATAGCCAGAATAAAGCAAGTTAAGGATCTTCATGGCTACTTTCATCATTATATGCAGTCTCTCTTTTAGGGTTGTAACCTATCAATCAGTCCAACCCAGTTATACCTTGGAAATAATGAAAGACCCCCAGATAAATCTTTAAATCTTGGCTCGTTTTTCTTAAACTCCATTATTGGCTTGTCCTCTATCTTAAAGTGGAACATACATGTATAATACAATTGTCTGGGTTGTAGCTTTCATTATGCTAATACTGATATCTTTATTGAAATTATACTCAGGTCACATTTATTTCAATTAGACTGGTTCCATATTCCTCTGTTACATGGTGTTAGATTATTCCACCTGCTTTCCTTCCTTTAGCATATATTTATTAAGCACCTACCATGTGTAAAATATTATACCAGGTCCTGAGGTTATAGTGGTGTGGTAGACATAAAGTCTGAGGGAGCTTATAGTCTGGTTCTTACAGAATAATTTCTTTTACAGATGATTCGTGTTTATTACCATTAAGTTTCTTCTAGTTTTACACTTGAGAACCTAATTCCAAATTCTAGGACCCCATGTAAATTCACTACATATAAATGATGATATTCTGCCAGTGAAGTTGCTGATATTTGTGGAACCTTTTTATTGTATTCCTTGTGAATTGAGTTATAAAGAAAGCAGTTCAGACTTAAATGTTTTCTACTTCTAAAGTAGTTAAAATTACACTATTAAAAGTTTCATCATCTATTAAATAAAGACAATAATAGTAATTATGTGGTAGGGTTGTTAGGAATGAATTTCTTAATACTTATGAAGCCCCTAGAACAGTGCCTGGTAAATAGTATGCATTTGAATGTTAATAATAATAATTATTATTATTATCATCATCATCATCATCATATCACATTTGTTTGGTAGTTGTTATTAGCTGAGGTCATAGACTTGAATATTCATTTTAATGTGTCATTTAAAAAAATTATATAAGGGACTTTCTAGAAGTTTGCAAAATGTGGGAAAATATAAAGGAGGAAATTAAAGTCACTAATTTCTTAAATCAATTTTACATTTCAAAAAATTTGCTTCTAGAATTATTCTACACCACACATAGGTATTTTAGACATCATCAGATCAATGTGATACAATTCAGGTTCCTTTTATCACATAAGATTATAATATAGGCATTCTTTTTTTTTTTTTTAAGATTTTTATTGGTGAATTGGGGGGATGGGAACAGTGCTGGGGAATTGGGGGAAGGGGGACAGACAAGTTGCTGTCGTTTTGTTCTTCAGTCTAGTTGTGGAGGATGTTGCTTCACTGGCCCAAGTTGGCACCATCATTGCGCTCTTCCCGGGTGAGGCAGATCAGTCGCCGGCTTCTGGACGGCCGCTCACTGCGGCTGCTGGCCGCTCACGCTGGCTGCTGGCCGCTCACGCTGGCTGCTGGCTACACATGGTAGCCCATGGCAACCCACTGCCACAGGGACTGCAGCCAGCCATCGCCAGCGACTCACAGCAGCCCAGCTCCAGGTTGAGCTGTTGTTCAGCATCTTAGCTGTAGAGGGCAGTGTCACTGGCCCTCATATGTGGGATCCTAACCGGGGCCCTCTGGCATCCCAAGCGAGTTCTTAACCATCGCGCCACTCGGCCGGCCCATAATATAGGCATTCTTTCATGTTGATAAAAATGTGTTGTAAGCATCCTTTTTAATTTTTCATAGCTTGACTTGAAGTTTCTTTGAAGAACAGCTATAGTATTGAAAGTATTATTAAGGCATGTCATGTATTTTAGCCTGATCTTATTAACTTGAAATGCAGGGCTATAAATCATTAATTAGAATTTTACTCAAGTACACTTGGACAACTGATGGAATTTTTAAAGTCAGTGACTAGTATACCAGCTTTTAATAAAACATTAGCAATATGCTGACTAGAACAAAAGCTGGAAATAAGAATTGAAGCTTTACTTAAAATCTGGGGGATATTTAACCATACCTAATTTTGTAAAAATTATATGCTTATAGGGATATGTGTGTGTGTGTGTTTGTTTGCTTTTTATAATAATGAATTTCAAACATACACAAAAGTAGACAGACCTAGAAATGTCCTTCCATACTTCTATTCATTTCCCTTCCTGAAATCTAGGATTTCAGAATTAATTTTAGGTGTCATATGTCATTTGTAAATCCTTGTATTTTTATATCATCAAAATATTCAGTGAGTCTGCAATAGGGTTATTAAAAACAATTTTTTGGGGCTCACTGGAGAGCATCATTTACAGAACTATAGAAACTGAGTATACTTATGTTTAAAAATGTAATGCTGTAACCTACTTAGTAAGATGATTTCCCTTGACAAAATAGAGATGTTGCCCTTTACACTTACTGAGCAGGGATTCTTCACTTAGAGAAAGGCTTTTTCAGGATGACGAGTGTATACTGGTATTGCCTTTCTCAGAATGAGATTAGGATTTTTTTCCTTCAAACTGTCTTCCTTTAATTTTTGAAAGTGTGGCATAGAATATGCTTTACACTTCTTATTTGAGTCACACAGTGACTCTATGAGATACATGGGCCAATAACTATATTTTGTACAAGTAATCAAAGGCTTATTGAGGTTAAAGTGACTTGGGTATTATCAAGTAGTTAATTTCTCACGGAACTAGAACTGTAACTCTAGTCCCTTCAGTCTAAATTTTGTACTTTTTTTTCACTGGAGTGCTTATGGATACATTAAAAATTCAAGATTTACTTGTCTTTTATCTGTCTTTATTATCTGTATATTGTTGCCATTGTGTCTATTTTGTATACCTGTATAAATTTTTTATATAGTTAAGGACCAGGTGATATAGTGCATTTGCACTAATATTTTAAATAGTAAAGAGTAAACCTAATTTTACCAATGATATATTTTTCAATATTATAGCACCACAAAAATCCTTGGGTCATGAGGTGAATGAGTTGACATCAAGTAGGTTATTGAAGTTGGAGATGGAAAACCAGACTTTGACAAAAACCGTAGAAGAGCTTCGGAGTACTATGGATTCTGCAGAAGGTAACACTTCCAAAATCCTAAAAATGGAAAAAGAAAATCAAAGACTAAGTAAAAAGGTAAAAAAAATTAATGTTTAGTGTAATATTAAAAAAATGCATTTAAATGGGGGAGAGTTATCACTTTGTGAGGGCTGTAAATATCTATTACATTGCTTTCTACACCTGAAAATAATTTTTAAAGAAGTATGTAAAAATATAAATAAATAGCACTGTAGTAAAACATTTTCCAGTTTTTAATGCTTTAACTTATGGGAATTTTCAAACATTCATACATGTGAAGTAAATGAACTCCCATACTCATTATTCAGCTTCAATCATTATTAACTTACAGCCAGTCTTATTTCCACCCCTGCCTAGTCTCCCCACAACTATCAGATGATTTTGAAATGAACCGTAGACAGGGTATCATTTCAACAACAAATACCTCAGTATATATCTCTAAAAAGCAAGGACATTTTTTTAAAAAACAAAAACAGTCACAAAAATCCACTTAAAAGTTTAATAATTTTTAGTTACCATTTCAATTTCTCCAATTTTTTTTTTACATTTTGTTTAAATCTGAACCCAAATAAGATTAGTACGTTCAATCAGTTAATGTGTCCCTTAAGTCATTTTTTAGTATACAAGTTTACTATTTTTTTCCTAGCAATTTTTCTGGTGACAAAACCAGGTTATTTGTCTAAAAGAGTTTTCCCACAATCTGGATTTTGCCGATTGCATTCTTTTTGTCACTTAGCAAGTTCTTTTGTCCCCTATATTGACTGTTTTACCTGTAGGCTTAATCAGGTTCAAATTGAGTTTTTAGTAAGAATATTTATAAGGAGTACATATGTTTCAATTAGGAGGCACACGTCTGTCTGGTTGTCTCTTTTTTTGCAATGTTGTCATGGAAAATCATTGGCTTGCATCCCTTAATTAATCGGATAGCAAAATCCTGGTATTCTAATTATATCACCCCTTCTTAACTTAGTAGAGTTCCACAAGGAGAAACTTTGTTTTAAAAACTACTGGTTTAAAGGAAACAAACACCACTGGTTATTCTGAGGAACAGCTCTTATGGGGAAAGCAGGATGAATGTTTGATTTTATCCCTTTATTTACCGTTTTCTTAATAATGAATTTGTTCTCTCATATCGTCCTCATATGAGGATAATCCTCAATCCTCATAATTGAGTGACTTTGTTTGTTTTAGTGTATTATAACTCATGGATTTAAAAATATTTGAAGTGTTTCCACCCACTGCATTTATTTTTCTTACTATCCCAATGAAGTCGCTTTCTGAATCCTCATGACACAACCTTAGCACTCCTTGAGAGCTTCCTTGCTTTCTGCCATGACAAAATGTTCTAGGCTCCTAGCCATGTCTAGTTTTTCCTTTGATAGGTCCTAGGTATCTAGACTCAGTTATAAAAATCTCTCTAATTTTAGACCAGTAACTTTTGAACTAAAGTATGCATCAGAATCACCTGTAGGGCTTGTTAAAACATAGATTGCTGAGCCCCATGCCTAGAGTTTCTGATTTTTGGTAGTTTGGGGTGGGGGCTAAGAATTTTCATTTCCAAGAATTTCCTTGGTGATGCTCATCCTGCTGTTTTGGAACCATGCTTTGAGGACCACTACCTTAGATAATGCAAGTAGATTCCTTGATTTTCTTGCAAGGTTTTTTCTCTTTTAAAACATTTTGGTATCAACTTTAGACCATTAACAAAATAATCTTCATAAGCATTTGACAACTGATACAGTGTTAAAGTAGGAGTGGTCATTTAGAACTTGGAACAGTTTTATTTTGGTTGTCATTGTAATTGGATCTGTAAATTATTATTTGATTTTAAGTTAGCTTTGATGTCCAATTAGTAAATTCTCAGTGATTGTAGCAATTTTTGATAAATTCATTGTATAAAAGATATCTTTTGTAAAGGAAATATTTCACTTAAATTTCACTGATGTAAAACAACAAAGGAATTTAAATAACGATTATCCACATATTTTAATTTATAATGGAAGAACCAGATAAATTAGTTATTAATAATTAAAAGCTTTCTAAACATGTAAATTAATGTTGAATTGAGTTACTGGATTAGCTTTGTGACTTGATGCTTTTGAGATATTACTGGGAGATTGTTTTCCATGTGTGGTTATCTTTCATTGATATTAAAACAGAAAAATTCAACTTGTTTTATATAAAACTGTTAAAATTCTTAGAATTCTTTACTGTTGATATAGATTTAAGTAATAATTAAACTTGAAGTGGGATACTTTATATAACTAAATCTTTTATATTTTTTTAATTACCTGATTTGAATATGTTATATAATGGAAAATCAGTGGTATAGTATATTTTAAACTTAAATGTGCTTTTTCATACTTATTAACCATGTACTTTATTATATCTTTAAAGTATATAATTGAAAATTTTCAACCTAGACTATAAATATTTGCTGGAGTTTTGTTCAGCCTGTTTTTTCTCTAGTATTCTTCATTTCTCCTTTCTTTTTTATTTTAAACTAGGTTCCTTCTTGTTTTCTCATTTTTAAAAAACTTACACCACCAGTTCTCATCTCCTTCATGCTTTTTATATTTTCCACTTCCTCCTTGTATACTGAAATTCCTTGACAGTAATTAAAATTTTACTTTACAAATCCACTCGAGCCAAGAGAGCCTTTCAGTAAGACTTGTACAATCTTTATTTAACACATAATTATATTGGGCTGTTGGAAAAGTCATGATGCATTTTTGCAATGAAAAACATAGAAAAAATACATCATGACTTTTCCGACAACCCAAAAATAGATTCACTTGGATTTGTCTTTGTGTTTACAAGTAGAAATTTGCCCTCAGAAATGCAGAGGATAAGAAAAATAGTCATGTCTGCTTATTTTGTAACTGCTAATACTAGCATGCATTGTTACTTGAATTGCTGTACTAAATTCTTAAATTTCATCATTTGGATATTAAAACTGTATTTTATTTTTAATTCAGTGATTATCTTTTGTTTCGACATGTTTCCACTGTTGTAAAATACTTAATGATATATTGTTTTGTGATTTAATTTTTCCAGGTTGAAATTCTTGAGAATGAGATTATTCAAGAAAAGCAAAGTCTTCAGAATTGTCAGAATTTAAGCAAAGATCTAATGAAGGAGAAAGCTCAGCTTGAAAAAACAATTGAAACACTAAGAGAAAATTCAGAGAGACAGGTTCAAAAATTTCCTATTAAGCACTGTATTTTAAAATGTATTAACAAAAGTTATTTTAGTTTATGCAAATAAAAAGTTCATAAAGTATTAAATGTTCATAAATATTTTAGAATTTTTTATGTTTTAAAGTAACTATGATTTTACCTCACTTTCTATGCTGTGTGTTTTACAGGAAAGTTAAAGGGAAAGTTTAGACTTTTTTAAATTGCCGGTATGATTAATAATGATCTCATTATTACAGTTTTGCAGGTACAGTTTTGCAGTACCTGTGCTTTCAAGTATCTCTGGAAAGTGACTGTGAAGTGGAGTTGGGGAGAAATGGGAGTAGATTTGGGGAGTAATGCAGCTGTACTCTGACCCTACAAAAAAGGGGAAAGTTGTGGCAACAATCATCTTGGATACTTTCAGATATATTTTCAAGTTCTAACTGAACATTCTTATTTTATGCTTGAGGAAACAGGATAGACTGAATGACTTGCTACTTTAAATTTTCTATTTATTTTTTAGATGTGAAATGATTAGTTTTATATTGTCTATGTATAGTCTTCAAGCTACATATAAAATACATTTTTCTGTAAAGCTACAGAATAAAAATTCTAGAGCTAAGCATGAATCTGTACTTTTACAAGATTCTCAGGGGATTGTTCAACACGATAAATTTTGAGAATTATTATATTAGGCCATGCCATAAATTGGATGGATTAGTTTTCAAATGTACCAGGGGATTTTGTTACTTTTTATTTCCAAATTAGAGTTCTTTTGGGGAATCAATATACAGCCATATATACTGTATATACACACGTATAGTACATCAGATATTTACTGAGAACCCTTTGTGTATAGATATTGCAAAATTTATTTATGAAAGTAAAAGCTTACTGAAGGAGATAGATATGTGTGTACGTTTCACCTATATTTGTATTTGAATTTGAAGCATGCAGTTATAAATAATCTCGAAGATCATTTTGATTGATATTAAACACATCTCTCTTAACCATTCCTTTACATTATGAACTCACTAAAGACATGAACGCAGTGGTCTCAATCTGTCAGAATTTAATGTAAGATAGACATGCTAACACCTTTTTATGGTCTAATTTTCCTCTTAGTTTTTGGATGGGAATAACTGTAATTTAAAATATTTAGCTCTTGCTTAAGTTTATAATTTTCTCCTTTCTCTTTTTAAATTAGATTAAAATATTGGAACAGGAAAATGAACACCTGAATCAAACCGTATTATCCTTAAGACAGCGTTCCCAGATAAGTGCTGAAGCAAGGGTAAAGGACATTGAAAAAGAAAATAAAATTCTTCATGAATCTATCAAAGAAACAAGTAGCAAGCTAAGCAAGATTGAATTTGAAAAAAGACAAATTAGAAAAGAACTGGAACATTATAAAGAAAAAGGAGAACGAGCGGAAGAACTTGAAAATGAATTGCATCATCTTGAAAAAGAAAATGAATTGTTACAGAAAAAAATAACCAATTTAAAAATTACTTGTGAAAAAATTGAGGCCCTTGAACAAGAAAATTCAGAACTAGAAAGAGAAAATAGGAAATGTAAAAAAAGATTGGATAGCTTTAAAAACCTTAGTTTTCAGTTAGAGTCCCTAGAGAAAGAGAATTCCCAACTTGATGAGGAAAACTTAGAACTGCGAAGGAATGTGGAATCTTTGAAATGTGCAAGTATGAAAATGGCTCAGCTACAACTAGAAAATAAAGAACTAGAAAGTGAAAAAGAGCAACTTAAGAAGGGCTTGGAGCTCATGAAAGCATCTTTCAAGAAAACTGAACGCTTAGAAGTTAGCTATCAGGGTTTAGATACAGAAAATCAAAGGCTGCAGAAGGCTCTTGAAAACAGCAATAAAAAAATTCAACAATTAGAGAGTGAACTACAAGACTTAGAGATGGAAAACCAAACATTGCAAAAAAACCTAGAAGAGTTAAAGATATCTAGCAAAAGACTAGAACAGCTAGAAAAAGAAAATAAATCATTAGAGCAAGAGACTTCTCAACTGGAAAAGGATAAGAAACAACTGGAGAAGGAAAATAAGAGACTCCGACAACAAGCAGAAATAAAAGATACCACATTAGAAGAAAATAATGTGAAAATTGGAAATTTGGAAAAAGAAAACAAAACTCTATTCAAAGAGATTGGTATTTATAAAGAATCCTGCATTCGTCTGAAAGAATTAGAAAAAGAAAATAAGGAGCTTGTGAAAAGAGCAACTATTGATATAAAAACTTTGGTTACATTACGTGAGGTAAATATATAACTACCTGATTTAAGGGAAATATTTTTCATATTTTTAACTCCAAGCTTCTTTAAAATGTACTGGAACCCATCAGTAATTTGTATCATCTCCTTATGTTTCTAAAGTAGAAATTTAGAATTAGAACTAAAACTAGTTTCCAAATTTCCTAGTTTTGTTAAACTAACAAGTACCTGTAAATTGTATTTTTTTAAGAAATCGTAATATTGAGTTTTCCATGTGGTATCTGACTTGTTACATTATAATTTTATTTCAAAATAATGTTGAAATGTTTGATCAAGACCCTTACTCAATGCTAAGTATAATAGAAAGCATGACAGCTATTTATTGAATGCTAACTATGTGCCAAGTACTGGACTAAGAACCTCCTAAGTTGTGTTTATATATAATTTATATATATATTATATAATTTATATAACTTTTATGACCAATTCTTTAAAGACCCATGAATTTATACCTCTTAAGCTAGAGAATTCAAATCAGGTTGAACTTAAAGGTCAACACTGAACAATTGGTAGTTGCTTGGATCTATGTGTTGACAAGAATTCTGAAATTTATAGATTGGCTACAGGTCCTGTGAAACGTGGTTGTTGCAGATTAGGAGATAGCATGCTTGGCTCTTCTTTGCTATTCCTATGTTATACTATATATTATAACTCTGGAGTTCAATTTAAAAGTATCTTAGCATTATGGTAGAAAGTCACATTTGGAAGTCTGCAGTTCTGTAAGAGGCATTTAGAAGGTCCATTATGAGCCTTTAATTTTTTTGTTTCTGTTGTTCTACAGTCTTACAGACATGAGCAATGGGTTTCTTGTGCTTGAACTTGTAGGAATGCCTTCAGATCCATATCCTCTTCTACCAGGAGAGGGATGCTTGTGGGAGAAGCAGCCACCATATATTTATAGGAAAAAACATGCACTAAAGTTCTAGCTTGTTATTTTAAAATGACTGGATTTGTGTATTTTCCCCACAGTTCTCAAATGTAGGATATGTAGTCACAAGTAAAGAATGGTTTCTCCTTTTAGTTTTTAACACTAAAAAGTTAAAAGGGAGTATTCGCCAAAGAAAGACAAAACAATTCTGTTTGGACTACATTATAATATTGTTACTTAATGCTTCTTAATGATGCAGGGGAAGTTCAGCCACACTTCTCTCTTTACTGCTTCAAATTATATGTATTCCTGGATGGTGGTAGTTAGGATCCTGGCTGAATTTCTTAGATGTTTGTTTATGTTCTTGACACTTACATGAGTTTTGCATTACTTTTAAAATAAGGATTTGGTGAGTGAAAAATTGAAGACTCAACAAATGAATAATGATCTCGAAAAATTAACTCATGAGCTTGAGAAGATAGGGTTAAATAAAGAGCGACTCTTACATGACGAACAAAGTACTGATGACAGGTGAGTATTAAGTCTATTGGCAAACAGTTGAAATTATTATTATTACTATTATTTTGCTCAAACATTGGTTCTTTCCTGCACTATAACTACAGAATATTTTTATATATTTCACTGCTTCTGGTTCCTTTCTGCCCTTAGAAAAAGTTCAATAAGAAAAGAAGTGAAAAATCAGATAAAGACAACCTAATATTGGAATAAGAAAAAAAAATGTTAAAATGTTATTATATAAATTCAGTTACACAATAGGAAAATAAGATGCCACCTAGGTAGCACAAGATCAGAGACTATAAATGCTTGTGAAAGTAGAATGAGACATTAACAACAAACAAATCCCTCTCTGGTGAAATATGCAATAAATTTAACAATTTATTTTTTTATTTGAATCACATATTTAAATGCCTAAATTCTTTCATTTATTTTGTGTGCCAAATGTAGACTTAAAGAGACATGGAAGAAAAGTATGAAACAAAGGGAAATATATTGAGAAGCAATTAAGATGTAAAAATAATGTGAAAACTAAGGCTTGACAAACAGCATAAAAAATTAACTTATATATCATTTAATTTTGTGAATTATCAGTACAGGTTTTCTATTCTCTTATGGTAATTATAATCCGTCAAACAGTTAATCAGATTTTCAAGTCTGCTATTTAGCACCTACTCAGCCACGTAATTCCAGCTACAACAGAAATGTGTAATGTTAAGAATATTGTTTTGAGCTAGCTGAGTGGCGCGTTGGTTAAGAGTTGGCTTGGGATGCCAGCTCTGAGCATCAGGGCCCTGGTTCAAATCCCACATTAGGGCCAGTGACATTGCACCCTCTACAGCTAAGATAGTGAACAACAGCTCGACCTGGAGCTGGGCTGCCCTGAGTCGCCGGCTACGGCGTAGGCTGCAGCGGGGCTGCAGTGGGCTACCGTGAGCAACTGTGAGTGGCCGGCAGCCAGCGTGAGCTGCCAAGAGCCACTGTGAGCGGCCATCCAGTGGCCTGCGACCAATCTGCCTCACCCGGGAAGAGCGCAATGATAATACCAACATGGGCGAGTGACGCAACGTCCTCCACAACTAGACTGAAGAACAAAAGGACAGCAACTTGTCTGTTCCCCTCCCCAATTCCCCAATACTGTTCCCCTCCCCCAATTCCCCAATAAAATCTTAAAAAAAAATTATTTTATGTAGGCTAGATTTTAATTCATTGGAATTTTTATAATTATATCATTTATATTTTATCCATTCTAGTATTTATATCAAATAAATGTGTATAGGGAAAAGTGCTAATGATTATATGGGATTTGTTTATGTAATCTTGAGAAATTTAAAGTTTATAGAGCAGAGTGATACTTTTAAAGGTTCTATAATAACAAATAGAAGTAATTTGAGGCATTTATTTTAGCAATCAATTCAAGCAACTATAATTGAATTACACAGATATTTCATGAGAAAAATATTTTTGAGTTAAACAGATAATTAAGGGCCAACTTAGTTGACTATCTTTTAATATAGATACTGAATACACATTACTTCTTTATTCGAACAGATTTATTACCTGCATGTAAGACATTTAAAAAATTGTCCCCCTCCCCACAAAAAGGTAGGGTAAACTATGTAGCTGCCCTAACTGACCTTGCATTTTAAATTTATGAACCCAGCTCTATATGGGCCCTTCATACTGTTTGGTACCTCTTGTCAAGCCGTAATTCATACAATTAGGTAATGTTAATTGAGCTCTCATTACCTGCTGGTTATCAAGTGTCAAAGAAATGATAATGTTTCAGTTGAACCTTTTGAAGAATGACAGAATTGCAAGTAGAAACTATGGGGAAGGGTATTCCATGCAAATAAAGCACAAAGGTGTGTTGAGCAATTCTTAGAATGATATGGTGGGTTAGAAAAAAGGCAATTTGGAGGCACAGAGACCAGTTAGAAAGCTACTGTAATTGTCTAGGCAAGGTGTGATGTATTTCTTAATATTAATCCACACATATTTATTTATATAATGAAAGCATTAGATCTGGAGATAAAGGCATATATTGAACTAAAATTTTTAGGAAATGGAATTGAGAGCAATTAGTAACCATGATAGAACCTGGGGGATCAGGAAAATAAGTGTCGTAAGCCACTAAACCAGCTTCTTTCTCAGTCAATAAGTTAGCCTTAATGTCACAAAGAAAATAGAGGCTCACAGCCATAAATTCCTTTAATATTCATCCCCTCCATTTTGGAATTTATGTATAACTGCATTTGTCTTTACCTTTTATTTCAGATGTTGTCCCTAATTCTTTTGTTACTTAACCTTTTCATCTTTACATTTGATGTCATTTAATCTGACCTCCTTTGAAGATATAGTTATTATTAAGATAGTTATTCTTGCCATAAAGGAATTGTCTAGTTGTGAAACTGAATGTATAAATAGATAAATTAAAATGCAACAAAGTAAATAGAGTTGTAAATAGAGTGCTGTGTGATCACTCTTGTCTTTCTCTTTCTTGTGTCTTCTCTTTCAGTATAGTTTCCTAGGGTTATATTCTCAGGCCTCTTATTCATTCTATATGCTGAGCATTCCTACCCATCATTTCGCCTGATATCCATATTATTCTCTGTTTACTGGACATCTCTATCTGGACAGTCCAGAAGCAACTCAGGCATCACAAATTTAACATATCCAAAGACAGACTTATTAAATGCTTTAAAAATGTTTGTTGATGCAAGCCAATACCAAAATGAGTGAGATTTGTTCTGTGTAGTCTCAATGAACTTAAAATCTGGTTGAGCAGGAAATGTATACAAACAAATTAAGTATAGGACAAGCAGAATATGATAAAATTTTTCATTTTACGTACTTTAGGGGTTTTTTTGTTTTAAAGATTTTATTGGGGAATTGAGGGAGGGGAACAGACAAGTTGCTGTCCTTTTGTTCTTCAGTCTAGTTGTGAAGGATACCGCTTCACTGGCCCATGTTGGTATTATGATCATTGTGCTCCTCCCGGCTGAGGCAGTTGCTCGCCGGCCATTAGACAGCCGCTCACGGCGGCTCTCTGCAGCTTACACCGGCTGTCGGCCGCTCACGCTGGCTGCCAGCCGCTCACGGTAGCTTATGGCAGCCCACTGCAGCCCCACTGCAGCTTACGCCAACGGCAACTCACGGCAGCTCAGCTCCAGGTTGAGCTGTTGTTCACCATCTTAAATGTAGAGGGCACAGTGTCACTGGCCCATGTGGGATCTGAACCGGCGACACTGCTGCTCAGAGCTTGTGCTCCCAAGCCAACTCTTAACCAACGAGCCACTAGGCCGGCCCTACATACTTTAGGTTTTTATTTTGTTTAATTATTGGGGTTCTCAGGTATAAGAAATATATTTCATCATAATTCCTAGTTTATGATTCACTCTCAGACTGATCATGCACTGTCCTTTTTGTAAAAACAGAACAAAACAAAAAAACTTAATTAAGAATAATGTAATTTTTCATAAACCCAGCATTTAAAACAATAACTAAAACATTGACATTCACATCTATCTGCCTCTTTCTACCCTGTCACCAGTATCCTGTGTCTTTAGTATATCATTTCCTTTATAAAGTGTTCTGCAGGTACTCTACACCCTGAAGACAAAGTCTTCAGTGAGTTTTAAGTCTTAACTATTCATATGTTCTTGTATAAATACTTTACACTTAATATTATAGACAAATACCTGACAATATAATAAATCCATTCTCTTCTTTCTATAGATTCTATTCTTATAAAACTAAAGGTGTATTTTGAGACTTAGATCTTTCAGATGCCTCTTTTGGGCATTAATTTTTGCTTTTAACAACCCAGGGTATAATCAGGAGCTCTGTTTACTCAGTGATTTTTGTTTCTTCGTGACCAGGAATAGTTTAAAAGGGATAGTGGGGCAGTAAGAGGAGGATAATTTAATTTGACATTGTTTTTTAAAAAGGCTATATTATAAGGCTTGTTTATAGCATTGGTACCTGTGGTCATAAATTATCTTTAAAAAAATAATTTTCTGACATGCACTTATGAACTTTTATTATTTTTATACTTTAATAGTAGGTACAAACTTTTGGAATCTAAATTAGAATCTACGCTAAAGAAATCCCTTGAAATAAAAGAGGAAAAAATTGCTGCTTTAGAAGCTCGATTAGAAGAATCCACAAATTATAACCAGCAATTGCGCCAAGAACTTAAAACAGTAAGTGATTTCCTTGGAAATGATTTTAAGTATCAAATATTTGGAGAGAAAATTGCAAAGTAGAAAATAAATGTAACATCATTTTATTAATGTTTAGTTTTTTCTTAAATTTGAGAGTATTCTTAAACAGATCTTTGTCATAGTTTATGATAAACTGTATTTTGTCTATACGCTATAATTTATTCAATCCTATTTCATGTGTGCATGTCCTTATGCAGTTAGGAACGTATCAAATAGTGAGAGAGGGATGGGCAAAAAGCAGGCTTATTTTGTTGGGAAAAGCTCTCAGTGTGATAGTGACATGACTCTGACACTTTTCCTATGGAAAATCCAGGTAAAAGTTTGATAAGTAAAGATACGGGTATGAAAAGATCAAGTAGAGGAGGCCAGCCGAGTGACTCAGTTGGTTAAGAGCTCACTCAAGAGTTTGAGCTCTGAGCAATAGCGGTTCGATGCCTGGCCCGAGCTGAGCTGCCACTGAGCTGCCAACAGGTGGCAGGATGGCTCAGCTAAAAAAAATATATATATATCAAGTAGAGGGAAATCATGTATAAGAAAGCACCTGAGTTTATAAATTTAAGGGGTTTTTTCTAGATCTGTTTTCTTGTGATATTTGGAATTACTCATTGAAATAAACAAGGCAAGGACAACTGTTTTCCCTACATGAATAAATTGAAATTAAAGGGGCTTGCCCATTCCATAGGATTAATATAATAGTAGATTGTGAAAATCATATTCTAGTTTATTCTCTTTTTTATCATCTCTGCAGGGCTCCCAGGAGTTGTTTTACAGTCAATTAAACATTCAAACTTACAAAGTTACTATGGGCCACATTTAGAACCATTTGAGCCAGAACACTACAGGAGGTACAAGTAAATAGCAAGCAGGGCACTGTCAGGTGTCCATCTTCGCATAGTTGTCTAAGAGTCATCTTTCCACTGACATGTCTTGCCCATGACAATTCAGGTGCAAGAAGATGAGATTCATATTGGGTGTGTGTGGGAGCTGCCCTTGCTTTAAGACTTTATGCTCTACAGTAGTATTCACCTCTTGCAACAACTGCAAAGGCATAGATTTAATTAAGGTCTCCGCAATAGACCAATTTTAAGAGATGCTGCAACTCAGAGAAGTTCAAAGATACAGCTTCCTGTTAGGTATTTATAGTTTTCTCAGTCCAAATACAGTTTACTAATCAGGGGTCGCATTTCCCATAAGGAGTCCTGCCTGGTAACATGGAACATTCCAATTTTATCAGGTTTCTAGAGGAAAAGTAACCTGAAGATGAGCTTCTCATGCAGGAAGGAAAAAGGCTTTATTGTTTGCCCACACCATCATTGCTGCTTTTGTCCCAGACAAAATTACTGTGGAACATGTATTGTTACAGAAGAAATTCTAGAACTTTTCTTAGTTAACATAAAGGATTATCTAAAAAATAAAGTGAAATTTGGTACCAGATTTTATTTATCTCATTTATTCATTTATTTCCTGAAATTTTTACCCTATTAAGCAGTGTAACTAGGTTCCAAGTAAAGTCTACTCGTGAAGTTACTCAGCTAGAAAATAAGTAGGTTTGGATATGGTTGGTATATACTATTCGTATGTATTTCTATTCTAAAAAGTAGAAATTAAAATTCCATGTCTTTCACTTGCAGCCATTTTGGCATAACTACTATTGGACTAGCTTTCTGCCATAAACATGTATTCAAATAGAATTATACTGTTCTGACTTTTAGTACTATACATGAAGATGAGTATCTCTTGAAGATAGACTATGAAAGTTAAACATGAATAGTATAAAGCCTAAAGTAACTACTAAAATAGCATGACAAAGAGGTGTGGCTAATATGCCAGCAAAAGAGATAAGCTGGAATCATAAAAAAAAAGAAAAGAAGACACAAAAATAAAAAAGGAGGGATCAAGTACAGATTAGACAAATAGAAAACAAATAGCAAGATGGCAGTTTTAAACCAAATCATAATAATTACATTACATATAAAAGATCAAAAACCCAGTTAAAAGGCAGAGATTAATGAAGAAGATAAAAGGGCAAGACCTTCCTGTATGCTGCCTCTAAGAAACCTTGATGGAAAATCATGTTATTTTCTGTGTGAACATAAATTAGAGATTCTGATTAATGATATATAAGGTAAAGGAACCATTTTTGAAACTTAGTTTTAAGGAATAATAGCCTGAAAATGAGAAGCCTTGAGTTTTATTCTCAGTTCTCCTTAATAATGGCCTATTTCTATAATCTATAATCTTTTTCTAAGTCTAGAAAAAAAAGATCCTGTGGGAAATTAATGTAAAGTAGGAGACTTGAAATGATGTCACCCAACTATATTGTTAGGGTATTAAAAGTAAAAAAGAAAAAAAAACCTGGAAAAATTATGATCCCAGAACACCTATTAGATCATTTGCCAAGCTTTAAATTACATTCTATCTTGGCATCTTTTTCCTTTAGTCTCACATCATTATTTTCTAATTCAATAGTAACAAAGTTTATTGCTGAATCACAAGCTTTCTTAAGGTTTGCATTAAATGTTGAATTATTTTCAACGTTTATCCTTGCCCTAATACAAAGTTTGGGTTAATTTAGAAATTTATGATAAATACCTCCTAGGATAATCTAGTGATTCAGAGTAAGTATAAAAACAGTCATTTCAAATTGAAGAGAGCTATTATAAGTTAATCAGTAATTTTGGTAATGTAAGATGACCAAATTGTTAGTTTTGAGTTGGCTCTCTTAAAGCAATCTTTGGTTGTAATCACACCAGAAAACCTTGGATAAGGTATATCCTTTGATTGTTCACTCTTTATAAAATAAATTACAGTAATTATATGTGGATCAATATCTGAATAAAGAAGTCATTAATTTATTTATTAACACAGCTCATTTTGGGCAACATACCCTTCATTAAAGGGCAGACATATATAGCTACTTCCTCAATTTCCCTGTGTCAAGTCTTTATTTGTTCTTTACATGGGGATCACTGAAATCTCAAAATCAGCTATAGATATAACTCTAAAAACAACTGTTAGTATTTAGCAATGTGTCTAGGTCCAATTTATTCTTCAGCAACATTTTCAGCATAAACAATAGGCTGTGAAATTACAAACTACATTGTAGGAACATGACACAAAAGCAGAGCTAATTTAGTATTCCTAAGAGGAAAGGATTTGTATTTTACAAAGCATAAATTGTGATTATGATAATAATAATGATTGTGCATATTACTTACCACATTTTTTTTTTTTTTTTAGCTGAGCCATCCTGCTACCTATTGGCAGCTTAGCGGCTGCTCAGCTCGGGCTGGCCTCGAACCGCTGTTGCTCAGAGCTCAAACTCTTGAGCGAGCTCTTAACCAACTGAGCCATTCGGCCAGCCCATACTTACCACATTTTTAAAATGAAGTGTCTTTCACATTCACCAGACCAGTACAGAGTCAAATTAATAGTAAGAAATAGAACTTTGGTGATTTTCTCCATTAAAATATTTTAAATAAAATTTTAGGTGAAAAAGAATTATGAAGCTCTTAAACAGAGACAAGATGAGGAAAGGATGGTGCAGAGTTCTCCTTCAACTTCTGGTGACGATAAATGGGAGCGAGAAAGTCAAGAAACGACCAGAGAGCTTCTGAAAGTTAAAGACAGATTAATTGAAGTAGAAAGAAATGTAAGTATTTTTAAATTTTTGGTAGGAATCGTTTTTTTAGAAATAAAGACTGTGACTCAAAATTTATGGTTTTATAGCTTTGTTCATTTTATACTTCCTTGGTTGATTTATTTTATAATATTAAAAAAGACTGAAGAACTAATAATTTAATCTACTTTTCTCAATCACCCTCACATAAATTCGTCAACAAGCTTTGTCAACTCTATCTTGAAAATATATCCCAAAGCCATTTACTTCTTTCTTTCTCTGCTGCTACCACTCTAATCATCTGTCATCTCTCATCCTGACTATTAGAATATCCTCCTAACTGACCTTTCCTTTTCCACTCCTAGTCCAATCTAACCCATTCTCAATGCAGTAGCCAAAGTTATTTTTTAAAGCATAATCCAAATCATGTCACTTTCCTACTTAAAATCTTCAATGGCTTCTTATTTCAATTACAATAAAATCCATATTTTTTACTGTGTCCTATAAGATCCTCCCTGACAGTGCCCTGCCTGTGTGACTGACCTTATACCATACACTCTTCTATCCACTCTGTTTATCAATCTGGAGATAATATTATCTGTTAATATCTGGAAAACACAAAAACAGTGCCTGGCGCATAATAAGTAAATTAGTTCTAGTCATACTGGCTTTTTTTGCTTGATCCTACCTCAGTCCTTTCTGTTCGTTTCCCCAACTGGGAACACATGGCTGGCTTCCCTTCATTCCCTAGCATTCAGTTCTCATGTCACATATCTACTGTAAGAGGTCTTCCCTCACCCCTTTCCCCAGTACAGTAGCTACCCCCCACCTAAACCAGTCACTATCACACCACTGCCGTACTTAGCTTCTTCATAGCACCTTTCACTTGTGAAATTATATTTTTCATTCACTTATTTGTTGTTTATCTACTGAAAAAAAAAAGCTCCTTGAAGGCAGGTAGCTTGTCTTTCTTTTTCACCATTGTGTCTCTTCAATATATAGAATACTGCCTGATATATAGCAGATACTTAATATTTGCTGAGTGAGTCCAGTAAATATTTGACAATAAACAATAATTAAATTCAAGAAGCATTTATTCTTCAAAGATAAATGAGCTTTAGGAACTTACATGCTGACAAGTAAACTAGTTGTGGTTGTTACTGTTTTTTAACTTAACTTTAAAATTTTTAAGCCATAAAGCCAAAAATTAATCTCTTATACCATTGATTTCTACTTTTCTCATCTAAAAATAATCACTATAAACAATTTGTTTATCTTTCCAGAAAAATGTTTGTAATTTATGCATAGAAGTATATTTCTTTTACAAATTTACACCTGTAGGATCATACTATATAATATTTTTATTTACATTTATCTTGGAGATCTTTCTATTTTAGCAGATACAGATCTATCTCGTTTAATGACTACATATTATTCCATAGTGTGGATGTTAGCATAATTTATTTAAATAAATCCCACATTGATGGACATTTAGGTTATTTTCAGATTTTGCTGCAATGGAAATGTATGCTTAAACATGTTCATAAAGTGAAAAACTCCTGATAGCGGAATTGCTAGGCCCAAGGGTATACGAGACATATCAGTGTGTATGCTTAATTTTAATTGACAACATTGTATTAGCCTTTCAAAATCACATCAATTTTAAACCCACTAGTAGAGTACCTGTTTTTCTAGATTAGCATTTGGTATTACCAGCCTTTTAATTTTTGTTAAAGTGATAGGAGAAAATATTTTAATTTGCACATTTTATTTTATTTATTTATTTATTTTTTTACATTAGATCCCCAGTATTTATTAATCTTATAACTGGAAGTTTATACTCTTTGCCCAACGTCTTCCCACTTTCCCCATCCGATTAGCCCCTAACAACCACCAGTCTAATCTCTGTCTGTATGAAAATTGTCTATTCAGGTCCTCTGACCACTTTCTTTTGTTGTTTTTTTTGTTGTTGTTAGTTTCAGGTGTACAGAACAATGCAATAGTTATCCTTTTCACCCTCACCAAGTAACAACTCCCCTCTCCCCATCTATTGCCCTCCCCCCCAAATATCATGCTTATCTATTACAGTTCCATTGACTCCATTCCCACTCTCTACTCCATGTCCCATGACTATATGTATATATAATTATAGTTGACATACAATATTATTCAACATCAGCTTCAGAAATACAGTGCGGTGGTCAGTCCTCTACACCGACTATGAAGTGGTTTCCCCCACAAGACATGAGTCCATCTGGCCCCCTAAGAAATATTTACAACATTATTGATTATATTCCCCAGACTGTCTTTTTCTATCCCTGAGGCCATATTATAGTTAACAATTTGTATTGTCTCATCCCTTCCCCTTCTCCTTCATCCCACCACCTCCCAACTTAATTTGCACATTTTAAATTATTAGCAAACTATTTCATAACTTTTCATGTATTTATAGGCCATGTACAAGTACCTATTTTTAATTCAGTGACATAGAAATATATATCTATGCTTCTATCATTTGAATTAATAATTACACTTCAGACAATTTGGTTGTCATGTGAAGTGCTATAAGCTAAATCTCTTTTCCCATTGTCTTCCTTTATAGATTTCTGTTGGGAAAAAAAAAATTACCTGATTGTCGCATTTTAGCCAATTTAGTTAATGAGTTTATAAAGACGGCTAGCCCTATATTACTAGACTGGTAATTTTTTGTATATTGCCAGTATATTTGCTAACCTCTTATTTTCCTGTTGTAAATTTTTCCTCTTCTGAGATATCCTTTTTACTCTCAGCTGTCTCTTCTATTCATTACAGACTATAGGAATTTTTCTTATTCGTAGGGATCATTAGAGCTTATACATTTCGGTTTCTAAAGAGTTGAACAACAATAGTATTTAACATATGTAAGTGAAAAATGGTTTACCTCTCTGTGTGTCAAGATGGTATATAAATGTATCAGTATTTTATATTAATTTTTTTCAGTATAAATTTTTTCTTCCTTTTTATTTGATTAAATGAACAAAAGAAGTACAATATCAAAAGCCATCTTGAAGCATTATGCTTCCTCAGCTTTGATTTTATGGCGTAATATGTGGGTTAAATCATGACTTGCCTGTTATACAGTGACATGTAGAATATATAACATGAAACCCTATTAAGTGAATTGTTATATTTTCCCCCTAATGTAGATATGATAAAAATGATTTGTTGGGATTCAGTTGTAACTTTTTATGTATATTGCAGTTATATATAAATGTTGGCCTTTTTGTGTATTAAAGTTTTATTTCAATTTTCTAAAGGGTTCTTTGTGTTTACTTTCTGATCTAATTTTTTAATGAAATGTTATTTAGAAATAATCTTGAAAATATAACATTCATGACAAATATTTTAATATCTAGCACAGTAAATGTAAAGATCTGTGATTTGTACAGTAATTCAACCGTTAACTATAAAAGTGAAATATGGCCTTATGTACTGGAAAAATTGAAAGTGGTATGTTGTGTTTGAATTTGCTCCAGAAGTCCTATGGATGAAATAGAGTCTTAGTGAATGTTTTATACCATGAAAAAAATCACTAAAGAAAATATGTAACATCTGTTAAGTCTATTATGCACTAAGTTTTTTAAACAGATGGTTAAGATTGTTTTTGCTTCTCTTCCACATATTTGTGTTTATAAAATACTTAGTTTTTGCTGCTCTCCCTGGGACCACCTGTATATAAATATTGCCCTTCAGGCAATTAGAAAAGGAGCACTCCATTGACTAGATTAGACACAGTCCCACTCATTCTGTACACTCTGGGCACTTTTGAGCAGCGTAAAAACCATTTAACTGACAATCCCATTCTAGTTTCTTACGTTACAATAGTCAATATATTTAGAATGGAGTATTTTATTTTTCAGATATTATAAAGCATACAGATACAGACACAATGTATATTAAGGTATTATGATTATTGCTTTTTCTTAGATTAAATATTTGTTTACAATTTAGGATAGAGGGGAAATTTTTTTCTTTTAAGAATGTTAGGATTTTTTGGATTATAATCATAAATAATCATGCAAAATTTCAGTATGTGATAAAGAGAAATATGTTTGTTGCTTTTATTTTTAATATGTATGTTTTCTTTATTAAGAATGCTACACTGCAAGCAGAGAAGCAAGCATTGAAAACTCAACTGAAACAACTTGAGACACAGAACAATAATTTGCAGGCTCAGATTCTTGCACTTCAGAGACAGACAGTGTCATTACAGGAGCAGAATACTACTCTTCAAACACAGAATGCCAAGCTTCAGGTTGTAATGTAATATTTGGGGGCTATGCAACCAAAGTCTTGAATTATGCTATTAAAATAAGGATGACTAGACATGGTAACATTGTTTCTTAGTGAATGAATTCAACAATTTGTTGAAGATAAATGAAAATATTTCTATTTAGTGCTTACCCCAACCTTTCAGACATCAGCATTTTTAAAATGTCAGGGCCTCTAAATATTTATTAATGAATTCACTCAGGAAATATAAATACAATGAAGATAATTTATATTTATGAAATGACCTTTCATCATAAACAAGTTGATTATAATTAATCAGGAAGAAACCCTTGCTTTAGAGTATGGTTGCAGCATACCATTCCTTGTTTCATTTTTACAGTTTGGTTAAGTTAACTGGGAAAGAACACAGCATGAGGATTTTGTCTTTAGACCAGTCCTTACTTCAAAGGCTTCATCTTGCACTTAACATTGCCAGTGTCTTTTTCAAATAGAGCAATCAGGTGGAAGAAGTACAAATCTCTAAAACCTCTTAAATAGCAGAAGAAAAGAAGTTACCTTCCTGAACATAAAAGTTATTCTTTCTGTAACTCTTTTCCAAATGATAAAGTAATACTAATATAATTTAGACTCGAGAAAATTTTCAATTGAATTATCACAAGTAATTTTTCAGCTCTGTGAACTCTCAGCTTCTAGAAAATGATAAACTAGCATTTCAAATTTTGTACTTTTTCATGAGTGAAATACAAATTGTTGCTAATCACCTTCATTAAAAATAATTCAACCCTGGGGGCGGCCAGTTGGCTCAGGTGGTTAGAGTGCAGGCTCATAACATCAGGTTTGCTGGTTCAATTCCCGCATGGGCCAGTGAGCTGTGCCCTCCACAACTAGACTGAAAGCAACGATTTGACTTGGAGCTGATGGGACCTGGAAAAAAACATGCTGTTCCCTAATAAAGTTGTTAAAAAAATAAAAAATTAAAAAATAATTCAACCCAAAACATACATATGACATATAGCTTATATAGATCTCATAATATATGGAGTACAGCAACTACCAAAAATCAAAATTAAATGATATCCTTGTTCTTAGGGACACTAAAATCCAAATTTTATCAGTATAATGTGCACATATCTGCTTTAATTTATTTAGAGCTTTCTAAAGTTAATGTTATCCTTTATTTAAAAAAAAAGAGCAACATAAGCTATGTTTCTGATGTCTGATAACAATATGTATTCTTAATAGGTTGAAAATTCCACACTTAATTCCCAAAGTACCTCACTTATGAACCAGAATGCACAACTCCTAATCCAGCAGTCTTCCTTAGAAAATGAAAATGAATCTGTAATCAAAGAGCGAGAAGACCTGAAATCTCTCTATGATTCTCTGATCAGAGATCATGAGAAACTAGAACTTCTTCATGAACGGCAGGCTGCAGAGTATGAATCTCTAATTGCCAAACACGGAACTCTGAAGTCTGCCCACAAAAATCTTGAGGTGGAACATAAAGACCTCGAAGACCGGTAATTTATTATATTTTTTGTGTTTTTAATTTAAAACCAATTTTCTTTGGGTAATATACTGCTATGTGTTAAACAGGTCTAAGAGATAATTTACATAGGAAATTTATATAAATTTACATGTGTTTAATGTGATAACTAATAAATGACTTGTTCATTCTAAAATTTCTTTTTTCTTAAAGAAATATTATAAACCAAACACCTTTTTTTCCAGTTACAATCAGTTACTAAAACAGAAAGGACAATTGGAAGATTTGGAAAAATCACTGAAAGTAGAACAGGAAAAAATGCTTCTTGAAAACAAAAACCATGAGACTATAGCTGCAGAATACAAGAAACTTTGTGGTGAAAATGATAGGTAATAAATATTTATATATTTTAGTTTCATATTATTCATTATATCCAAAGTGTATACTGTCCCTTTGCAGCACCATCTGTAACTTAGAATTTTGAAAAAAAAAAAAAAAACACAGAGCAATAAGTAAATACCCAACAAAATCATGCAGCTAGTTATAGAATGGCACAGACAAAAACTTAAATCTCCTGTTTTCTGTTGTTGTTTCTCTTTTTTTATTCAACTAATCAAGTTTTTAAGCCACAGTATATAATGAAATTTTTGTACCTTGACAGCATTTGCATACTTTATTGAGACAGAATGTAATGAAACCTGGTTCTTTATGTCTTCCTTTTTTTTTCTAGTCTGATATACCAGTTTTTGTCTGTTGAAGTTGGTACAAGTGAGCAATTTCTGTCTCTCAAACCTATTCTTGCCCGGCTTTTATGCACTCATGTCTGTGTTCTAAAGGAAGAAAAAGGCTTTAAATAAAACCTGAAAGAGCTGTTTCACCAAAAAAAGATATTTATGAAGATTTGTCTGAAGAATAATAATTTATCCATTCCTCTAAATAGCCAAAGTTGTAATCTTATAATGCTAAACCAAGCATTCATTCATGGATTCAACCTATTTATGGAGTATATACTTCTTTTTATGTTTCTGGTCTTGCCGTTTTATTGTTTTATACAGTCTTGATTTTTTTTATTACTTTATTATTTATAATTCTTGTAAGCTGACTCAAATTCTTTGGGGGAATGAGTTGAAATAAATTATTAGATGTTCTAAAAATGTACCATCCTGAGCAAAAGTTTGTTTTGTTTGGCCACCTCCCCCTCTTGTGGCTTCCTGATCTTAATTTCATAAGGTAAAGGTCAGTAAGCTACAGCCAGCTCAGTAGGCCATACCCAGCATGCAGATTGTTTAAGTACAGCCCCCAAACTAGGAACAACTTTTACATTTTAGAAGGTTGTGGGGAAAACAGGAAAAAAGAGCATGCTACAGATTACATGTATCCCATAAAGCCTAAGGCATTTACTCTCTGGTGCTTTACAGAAAAGGTTTGTTGATCACTGCTGTTAGAGATCAGTGGACCTTGTTCTGAAGGTACAATAAAATAGTGGAAAGAAACCAAAAAGGCAATAGTTTGACTTTTACAAATAATCTAAAATTTATTATTAATAATTGGGGACTGCATAAATACAAATAATTTGCCTCAACTGCAGAAATCTCAGTAACTGAAATTTTGGTGTAAGCCTGTACTTCTCAGTTCTCTGGCAACAGAGTGATAGATTATCATGTCCCATACTGGATTGATTCTCTGGATCTGATCTTTCTTGAATTTCCATGTTGAATTTTAGAATGTTTGAATTTTCCATGAAATCAAAACTGGATTGGTCGTGTTCTCTTTTGTTCTTTTTCCTATTAATACTTTACATTTTGCATGGTAAAATGTTGCATATATTTACATTTTCAACATATTTAAATGCTGAAATATTTCTTTTCAAGGGAAAAAATACTCATTTTTTTAAAAATCTAGTTTTTACAGAATAGAGATTGATTCTTAATCAGTTTAGTAACTGTCAAAAGAATTCTTTATAGTCTCTAAATATGCCTGAATGTGATTTACAGCATTTTCACATTGTGTAAAGTACAATGACAGCTATTAAGAGAATCTAATTCTGTTTCTATCATGATTTCTAATTGTAGGTTGAATCATACATATAATCAGCTTTTAAAAGAGACTGAAGTTTTACAAACTGACCACAAAAACTTGAAAAGCCTTCTAAATAATTCCAAACTGGAACAAACAAGATTAGAAGCTGAATTTTCAAAGCTAAAGGAACAGTATCAACAGTTGGACATCACGTCCACCAAGCTAAATAACCAATGTGAGGTGAGCTCTAACACGTGTAATCATTGTTTCCTTCCTTTAAGCATCAAGACACACCTAAAAACTAAACAATGTTATTATAATGACAATAGCAGTATATGTGTAGTAGGGTATTTCTAAAAGAATTGGTCAGGGATAATTAAAATTCACAAGTAATTCAGTAAAACCTCCTTAATCATTAGTTTCAATTTTTTTATTATTATTAAAGTTTAAAATTACATGTTCAGATACTTTGAAAATTGTAAAGTCATGTCCTTGTTTAATGAAAAAATGTTTACTGACTGCCTGGAATACACTAGTAAACCAAAAAGATAAAAATCTCTCCCCTTATGGAGTTTACATTCTGGTGGAAGAAAACAGACAATAAATATAATAAGTAGATGAAATATATAGTGTTTCAGTGTTTTGCTACATATAGCTATGTATCAAATTACCCCAAAACTTAGTGGTATAAAACATCCATTTATTATGCACAGATTCTGTGAGTTGGAATTTGGACAGGTACAGAGGGGCCAGTTTGTCTCTGCTCCATTTGCAGCAAGGCCCTCAGCTGGAAGATTGAGAGGCTGAGTTCGTGTTTGCTGATTGATGCTGGCTGTTAGCTGGAGGTATCCATTTCCTCTCCATGTAGTCTCTCCCCATGAACTGGTTTGGGCTTTCTCACAAGATGGTGAGAACCAGATAAAAACCATCTCTGCTTTAATGATCAAGCCTCAGAAGTCATGCAGCATCATTCACCCTGCATTGTGTTCAGTGGGATAGTCAAAGTCCCATCCAAGTTCTAGGGGAAAAGATATAGACTCAGCCTCTTGATGGAGAATGGCAAGATTCTGAAAGAGTACATGGACTGAAAATACTGCCATAACTATTTTGAAAATTAGTCTGCAACGTATGGTATGTTACAAGGTGAAAAGTTATGTGCAAATAAAAAGTAAAAGTAGAGTAGGGTCAAGGGGACTTCTAGGGTAGATGGGGGAGTGTAGATTGAAATTTTAACTAGGCATTGTTGAACAAAGATTTGAGGGAGATTGGGTATTATTTTGTGGATATCTGGGAAAAGAATATTCCAGGTAAATAGCCAATGCTGTGACCCTAAGGCAAGGGAGATTCTGGTGTGTTTCAGGAACAGTCAAGGAGGCCAGTGTGGCTGGAATGGAATGAGCAAAGGGGAGAGTAGTAGGAGATGAGATCAGAGACATGCCTGGGTCACATCGCTGTTACCTTATAGGCCATTGTAAAAAACTTTTACTTTTATTCTGGGTAAAATAGGGAGCCATTGGAGGGTTTCGAATAGAAATGACATGCCTTATATACACAGTTTTATTCTTTTTTTTTTTT